TCTAGGGCTCTCTCGGGACCCCCTTAGCCTGTCGTGGCCTGCTTCGAGGCCGGCCCGGGCCGCCTCGGGACCCCTCTGGGCGCCCTCTTGGGGGACTCTTGGGGCACACTTGGGTTGTCAGGGGAGCCTCCAAGGCCGTCTTGGGGCCCCTTTGGGGCCTCGTGGGCCGTCTTGGAGCGATCTGCAGGGCCTCCGAGGCCGTGAGGGAGCGCTGGGAAGCGGGGAAAGCGAGACCGCCAAAATCCTTCGAAAACCATCGGACAATTTGTGAACCTTGCCTCCCAGGGCCCTCTCGGGGAGCCTCTTGAGTCCGTCCTGGGGCCATTTGGGAGGCCGTTCGGGCCATCTTCGGTGCCTCTGGGACTGTCTTGGGACTCTCTTGGCCATCTTGGCGCCCTGTGGAGGATCTCTTGGGCCGCGTTGGGGCGATCGTGGGGAACCCCGAGGCTGTCGAGCACGGTTCGAAGACGAAAAACTCGAATGCGGTTAACATGTACGTTTTACGGATGGAACGGGGCCATTTTTGCCTCTCGGGACCCTCTGGAGGGTCAACTTGCACGGGTTATGAGGCGTCTTGGAGGCCTCGTGTTGGCTGCGTAGGGGCCTCTGGGGGGTCTTGGGGGTCCTCTTCGGGCGTGGGGCTGGCAATGCCAATTGGATTTCCCCATCTTGGACTCCTCTAGGAGCCCTCTGGGAGGCCGTTGGGGCCGTCGTAGGTGCCTATGGGACTGGCCTGGGACCCTCTTGGGCCGTCTTGGCGCCCTCTGGGGGGCCTCTTGGGCCGTGTAGGGGCGATCTAAGGGCCCCCTGAGGTCGTCAAGGATGGTGCGAAGACGAAAAACACGAATGCGGTAAACATGCACGTTTTACGCACGGAATGGGACTATTTTTGCCTCTCAGGGCCCTCCTGGGCACAGGAGGCGTCTGGGAGGCCTCTTGGGGTGTCTTGGGGGCCATCTTGTGAGTCTCGGAGCGGCCTGAGCGTCTTGGAGCGGCCTGTGGGCGTCGCGGGTCTCTCTTGGCGCGTCCTCGGGCTCTCTTGGTACTTCCTGGTGGCGTTTTGTGGGCATCGGGCCCCCCGAGGGCCTACACAAACGCATTTGTGGTGGAGGTCGCGGCCCCGGGGGCCCGGGCCCCAGTGCGCCGTTGTATGTATATACGCACAACTGCACTTTCGCTTCGCGCCATGCACCTTGGTCCTTGAGACTTGGCATGCAGGCGGAAGGGCAGGAATGTCGAGCAAGCAACTTAGCGATAACTCCTTGTTGCCTTTTCCGGCATCGCCGTCATCATAATGGTATTCGTGATCCTTCCTCCATGCTTCATTTTCCTCATTCTCGCCTTACCCTGCGAATTCTTCCCCATCTTCCTCAACTTTTTTGCGGAGGCTCCTCCTTGAAGAGCCTCTGGGGGCCTCACGGAAGTTTTTAAAGCTTTCTTCAAACCTTCTGGAGGCCTCCTGGGCGTCATCTGGGGGCCTCCGGGGGCTTCCACTGGCCACCCTGCCTACCGGGTCATGATTTGGAATGCTTCGGTTGGTGTCTTGGGACCATCTTGGGCCGTCACGGGGCTCTCTTAGTCCATCTTGGAACCCTGTTGTGCCGTCTTGGATCTCTCTTGGACTGCCTGGAAGCCCTGTCGGATGATTTTGAAGCGATTTTCAAGCCTCATAAGCTTTTTCGGACGCCGACAAGAAAGAAGAACAGGGCATTCCCGCAATGGTCTCCTTTGGGTCGTCTTCGGACGTCTGAAGGGAGTCTGGGGCCTCTTGGGGCCCTCGGAGGAGCGTTCGGCCGCCCTCCTGACCGATTTGGGCCCGTTGCCTAGGCTCAGCAAGGGCTTCCAGGAGCTCTGAAACGCCTGGGGGGCCTCCTGCAGGGGCGTCCAAGGGGCCCCCGGGGCCAGGGATCCGGGGGGTTCCAGAGGGTCCCGGGAGCCTGGGGCTCGGGGGGTCCAATTTCGAGAGGGGAGGGGCCCGCGTAATCAAAATATATAAATGGGAATATATATACATACATGCCATCCATATTCAATGTAAACATCTATACACACAGGTATTCGGACCTGGGGGGGGGCAAACATACCCACATCTACCGCCTGCCGAGGTCCCCGAAAATCCCTCAGGCGGTGGTTATGGATGAACTCCCACCTCGAACCCGAGGACCAACACCGCCTACGAATGCACAAAGCCGCCGCTGCCCAGTACGGCCCCGGTGATCGGACGGTGGTGCTCTGGTGCGGCGGCTGCGCCGTGAGGCTCCTCGACTGTGTGCTCCCTGCCTGGGCTGCTGGAACGATCCGAGAGGGCTCACGCAGCGGTGTTTCCGGCTCCTACAGCGTTTCGCTAAAGGATCTTTATCGGCGGTGGACAAGCCTCACTTTAGCAAACCACCCTTTACTGAAAACGGCCTGGGACCGAAACCGACGGACCTAGACCCGCAAAAATGACGGCCGCGACGCCCCCTCGCGAACCGAAAACGGCCAATTCGCTAATCGACGTGTCAGGGTAGGAGGTTTTTCCACCCCCGACTTTATGGGTGTGTGGCAGGACCGCAGAACAGTCCCGCAAGGGGACGGGGAACTCTCGACCTCCCAGTCCGGCGGCCGTTTCGCCCGAGAATTCCCCACACCTTATCGAAGAATCGTGCTCTCTCCTCAAAGCCAGCTACTTTTGTGGTCCTGACTTCCATGATCACTTGTACGAAATTCGCTCAGGCGCACATGGCTCTGCCACCAGCCCTGTTCCCCATAGCCGACGTCCTACTCCTCGACCCGCCTCGTGACCTTTGCTGCTCTCAGGGTGCTTAGCTGGAGATGTTTTGAGCAGTGGCCTCCTGTATTGCCCCGATTTGGGCCCCGAAGGCTCCCAAGCAAAACGCAAACGCAAAAACAGAGACTCGACGCCGTGAGGCTCCGGCTTGTGTGCTCTTTGCCTGAGAGGCTCAGCGAGCCAGATGGCCGATTCTTGCTCCCACCGACCTTCCACTGGCTTCCGCCAGCGGACCCCCCGCCGTTCGACTTCGCCGACTTCCGCCGAGAGTGAGGGTACGCAAAAGCGAGGCCCCTCCTGGAGCGGACAAGACGCGCCGAGGGCGAAACCCAGTCTGTAACGCCTGAGATGTCGCAGAACCACAACCGCATCTGCAGCGACTGGTGTGGACATGGCCAGTCAACATCGAATCGTGAAGTCGGATCGAATTTGGAACGTGCCTCGGACAGGGCCGCATCGGCGCGGAATCGGACTTGAGTCGGATCGGCCGCGGCAGTATGCACAGCACCACCATGCAAACACTTGGCCGCATCGGATCGCTGGAACATGGGAATTGAACCAGGCTGACCAGAATCAGCACATCCAATCGGATTGATCGGATCGACATGAACTTTGTGTGTGTGTGTGTGTGTGTGTGTGTGTGTGTCTGCCAGGACCCTGCTTCTGGTTACGTTTGCTTCGCCGGCGACGCTGACGGCGGCGGCGGTGGCGTCACGATCTCGATCCTCAATGCGAGGCGGGGATTTATCCATATCCACCGCCTAGGAACCAACGTCGTGGTGCCCCAGCGGGCGGTGGATATGGATATATCTCGGCCCCCGGGGGCCCGAATATGTTCATATCCACTGCCTGCCGAAACTCCGAAAACTGACCCTCCAAGCGGTGGTTATGGATAAATTCCCGCCTCGGACTCAAGGACGACGACGCCGGCGCCGCCAACGACTACGACCACGACGACGACGACGGACGGCAGCGTCGGCGGCGACGACTCCAGTGGCGGCGGCCCCGCCGCTGCGCCGGAGGCGGCGCCGCCGCCACTTCGACCAAGGCCCATCTTCCCGAGGAAATCCTAGATCCTTGCCGACAGTGCCGAACACCCCTCGATCCTCGAGGACCCCTGGAGCCTCGAGCCTCGAGGACGTCGAGGATCGAGGCGGTCAGAAGCTGAGCCTCGAGGACGTCGAGAACGTCGAAAACGTCGAGGACGTCGAGGATTGAGGATCGAGGGCGCCTCCAGGAGGTCGAGGATCGAGGCCGTCCTCGATCCTCGGCGGATGGTGGCGGGCTGGCGGGCGGCGGCGGCGGCCCGCGCCGTCCAGGCCTCGCCCGCGGCGGCCGCGCCCGTGCGCGGCCCGCGGTCGGTGAGCGCCTGCGGCGGCCCTCGCCCACTCGGCGGCACCCGGGGGGTGACGGCGGCGACGATGGATGACGACAATGACGACGACAATGACGACGATGACGACGACGGATGTCGACGACGACGGTGGACGATGACGGGGATGCTGACTGCGGCGGCGACGATGGCGACGAGGATGAGGTGAAGATTGCTATGGTGGCGATGGTGGTAGTGAGGAGCGACGAAGACGGCGACGGCGACGGCAACGACTACGACGACGATGACGACGACGTCGACGAGGACGACGAGGACGACGAGGACGACGGCGACGACGACGACGACGACGACGGATGTCGACGATGATGGTGGACGATGACGGGGATGCTGACAGCGGCGGCGACGATGGCGACGAGAATGAGGCGATGATTGCTATGGCGGCGATGATGGTAATGAGGAGTGACGGCGACGGTGGCAGCAACGGCGACGACGACGTCGACGGCGACGGCGACACCGATGATGGTATGGTATGGTATGGGGTTGAGCGGACAAAAATCCACCTGCCGACGTTGCGGCTCGCATGCGGGAGTGGCGACGAGGAGCCCGAGGGCCACGCCAGACAGGTGCACCCCAGCGACGGACCTCCCAGGAGGGGAGAACCGTGGCCAAGGCCCCACCACCCCCGCGGGGACGGAGACCCACGGGCAACCGAACGCAGCCCGCAGGGCCGCACCCAGGACCCGGCGGCCCGAAACGAGGCAGCCCCCAGGCCGCCCCCAGAAGGACACCAGATTTTCGAGCCGAGCCCAGCAACTACGCGTAGCCGCCGCCCACTCAGCCCCAAACCAACTGGCCACTTCTCTTCTTCTTGTTCTTCCGCTTCTTGCCCATGGGTGCCGTGAGCATGGAGCGGGAGTCGTCGACTGTGAGCCCGAACCCCTCCAGCACCCTCGCGAGCGCAGCCTTGTGCTCCTCGGAGCCAGGCTCGAAGGGGTCGCAGGCCTGCGCGATCTGGTCGCAGGGGATCACATCGCCCCCTTGGCTCTCGTCCTCGGCCAGCCCCGTCAGCACCTCCGCTCCCACCATCGTCTCGCACTGGAGGGTGGCCACCCGTGGGGCCGCCAGCACCGCGGTACCGAAGACCGCTGCGTCCCCCAGCTCGTCGTGCTCGAGCCGCCACTGGGCGCGGCGGCGTGCCGCCGCGGCGGCCGCCCTCGCGTACGCCAGCTGGTTGACCGCGACCGTGGCTTCCCAGCTCCGCGGCCCCCTCGCGCTCGGCTCCTCGCCGCCAGAGAGGCTCGCGACCTTCATCATGTCGTCCAGCTCATTCACCACCTCTTCTCGTGCTCGTGGGCGTTTTCGTCCTGCTCGGAGCCCGCCGCGGCCGACGCCTCCGCTGAAGACGCCTTGCAGGACCACGAAACGCCCTTTTCGGCCTCCTGGGTCACGCCCGTCGGCACGCGAACGATGTTCTCGACGTGCTCAGCCATCGGCACCTTCACGATATTTTCGGTATCTTCGGACTCCTGGGTCACGCCCGCAGGCGCGTGAACGATGTCCTCGACGTGCTCTGCCATCGGCACCTTCACGATCTTGTCGGTCTTTCCATCAGAGGTGTTCAGCACCTCGATGCTATCGACATGATGCGCCATCGCCACCTTCACGGTCTTCGCCTCGACCTTCACGGCCTCCAGTTTGACCGCCTCCTCGGGAAGGTCCTCGACGTCCCGATCGTCCTCGGCCAGGCCGCACTTGCCCAGCACGGGGGAGACAGGGACTGCAGGGAGCTCCTCGCATACAGTCTGGACCGCGGCATCGCCCATCGGCAAGTGGACGGTGATCCCGACATGCTCCGACGACAGCGCGTCCATGCTCGGGTCGAGCACGCGGGCGACCTGGTCACCGAACGCCTTCGTCGGCTCCTCTACGGACTCGCTGGCCTCCTCATCGATGCTCTTGCAGTCCCCGATTAGCTGCTGCGCCACCGACACAGCCTGGTCCCTCTCGACCACGAGGGCCTCGTGCACACCCCTGAGCGCACCCTTGAGGAACTCCATGATGAGCTTCTCCCCAGGAGCAGGGAGTGCACCTCGAGCACCGCACCGCCCGCGTGCAAGATGGCGGCAGGTCCGCCCATCCGCCCGGCAGGGCACGGCGGCGCGCCACACTCGCCGCGGACCGCGGTCACGGCCTGGCCATGGCTCTCCGCAGACCCTCTCCTGATGCCTCCTCCTCCTCCTCTTCCTCCTCCTCCTCCTCTTGCTCCTACTCCTCCTCTTCTCCTCTTCCTCCTCGTCCTCCTCCTTCTCCTCCCCGTCGTCGTCCTCCTCCTCCCCCTCCCCCTCCCCCTCCCCCTCCCTCCTCCTACTCCTTTTCCTCCTCCTCCTCCTCCTCCTCCTCCTCTCCTCCTCCTCCTCCTCCTCCTCCTCTACTCCTCCTCCTCCTCCTCCTCCTCCTCCTCCTCCTCCTCCTCTTTGCCAGGGGCGTAGAGGCGGGGCTTCAGATTTCGATCATCTTGCACCTGGGCTGCAATTCAGTGCTGCCACTGGGGAGCAACGCGTTCGAGAACGATTCTTTCTTCAGGTTCATGGCAACTCCTCGTCCCTGCCCTCCCTGCGGCAACACCCCACACCTGGCAAAGCGGGGAGCCACGGTCAGATTGCACCGGTGTGGTCGCGAGGCCTTCTCACGCGCTGCGCGTGAAGGCAACGCACCTCCGCGCACGCCCTGTACGCCAGGGAAGGGAAAAGAGGGGGAGGTGAAGGAGGAAAATGAGGAGAAGGAAGAGGAGGAGGAGGAGGAGGAGGAGGAGGAGGAGGAGGAGGAGGAGGAGGAGGAGGAGGAGGAGGAGGAGGAGGAGGAGGAGGAGAGGAGGGAGGAGGAGGAGGGAGGAGGAGGAGGAGGAGGAAAGAGGAGGAAGGCGCCACTCTGGATCGGGGATTGGGGGCGCGGGCCCCCCCATCGGGCGCCTTCTGGCAGAGAGGCAGCGGCTTGCTTCATGTCATGGCACCTGCTGCTCTCTCAGCGTCGGCAGCCCGCCGAGGCATCATGTTTGCGCAGTTCAACCCGCAGAGCGCCGCCAAGGACAGGAGCCGCGACATAATTGAGGAACTTTCTAATTTTGATGCAGTGGGGTTGATAGGGACGCAGAGAAGATCTTCAGGGAATTTGGTGGAGATTTCTCAGAGGCTGGACAATCACTGGAGTATCGACTTTGGATGGACCAGAGGAGCTCATACTAACAAGAGTTGTGGTCTTACTCTGTGGCTTCGACGACGATTCGCTAGCATGTCCAGCATCAAAGGTTTTGTCCCTACTCCCAAGAACCTCTGGGGGCGTTGTGGTGGAGTGAAGATCGAGCGCGGCAGTCTCAGGCTTGTGTTCATCCTATTGTACTTTCCTCCGCAACCTCGTGGCACGCGTGCGCAGCAGCTACAGTGGGAGGCGACCATCGATGCAACGCTTAGATGGCTGGAGACAGCGTTGGGAGCAATTTCAGCAAGATGGGCACCTGTCATCATGAGCGATGTAAACGGCCAGTTTCCTGAGATTGCTGGTTTTTCAGGTGTTCACGGCTGCGGGGACTGGAACTTCACCACTCAGAACCTCGCGGCTCTTCTAAAAACTCATGAACTGTGTGCCATGAACACGCTGTGGCCCGCTGGAGACACATACTACGGGAATTCGCAGACGTCCAAAGTGATCGACTATATTTTCATGCCCCACCAGTGGGCATCCGAAGTATGTTGGTGCCGCACTTTGCGGCGCAGTGCGTGGCGATTGCAGGCACACTGTCAATCCAAGATATGGGATCATGTACCAGTTGGGATTGCTCTGCCTTTTCAAGTGATTGCTGAACCATACGAGGTGGCACCGAGGGCGACCTTCTCTGGCGAGGCGATGTCGATGATGCTGCAAAGGGGATATCGTAGAAAGGAGTTCGTGCAGCAGTTGGAGAGATCGCTTTCCCGTGAGTATGATAGAGTCGCCTCGCTTCCCTCGAACTTGGTGGCCGACGAAGCGAACAGGGTTCTCATGCAGTCACTTCGTGAAGCTGGAGCGGAGCACTGCTCGCGTTCACCGCTATATACGGAAGATCACTCTAGGCATGCAACTGAAGTTTCTCGCCTTCTTGAGAAGCGTCGAGATGTTCGGGGACAGTTTTCTGTGGTAGAATACTCGGAGGACGTGGAGGGGGAGGAGCTTAGGCTGACCATGGAGTTAAGGAGGGTGAGCAGGTGGCTAAGACATCGGAAGAGGGTCTATTGGGAGCAGATTCGACAGGATCGGTGCGAAGCTTTTAATGAAGCCGTCGAGCGTCGAGATGGCTACAGTATTCATCGCTTAGCTAAGCTGATCGCGCAGGCGAAGAAGGGAGGGAGGAAGAGAGTGTACGGGAAGATCAGGGTGGAGGGGACGAGGCAAGAGTGGGAGGAGAAGATGAAACTTCCAGGGCCCGAAGGCGGCTGCTCCGCTCAGGCCACTACCCTTGCCGACCTTCGAGATGCTCGAGGGACCCCTTTTGGCGCCCCGCTGGCTGTCGAGGCCGAGGACCTAGAGGAGGACGTGGGGAGGCTAAAAAAGGCTGTATGGAAGGCTCGTCTTTGGAAAGCAACCCCGCCCTGGAGCTGTCCGATCGAACTGATACGCACAGCATTCTTCCCGAGATGGACTAACCCTAGGATGAAAGAGATGAGGCATGGTATCGGGCATGTTCCAGATGTTACGAACCTTATCTCTCCCCATTTCTACAAGTTCCTCTCTCTCATCCTGATAGGCGCCCGCATGTACAATAAGCTACCGCTTGACTGGTTGCGCGCAGTTGCAGCTCGCATCGGGAAGGGGACCGACAAGGAGGGGACGAAGGGGGAGCGGGTCGTGATGATGGTGTGTTCTCTGGGCAAAGTGTTTTTTCGTGGAGTTCTAAGCAGAGCTCCAAAGTATGCGATTCCTGCTTGGGCATATGGGGCACTGAGCAAGCGAAGGAGGGAGGGGGCGATCGTCGTACAGGGCTGCTCAGCGTGGAGGTTGAAGAAGCTAGGCATCTCTCATCTCCGCCGATTCCATGATGCAACAAACGCATTTTTTTCTGTGAAGACCAGTTGCCTCAATGCGGCTACTCTGCGAGTTTTACATCCAGACGACGTCCCGCTCATGTTGGACCGTATTAAGTATAGTCACTTCATATTCACGGGAGGGGAGGAGGACATCGTGTTTACCATGGGGGAGGGATGTATGCCTGGCGACCCGATCATGGTGTATTTATTTGTCATGGTGTATGTGCTACGCCTGCAGGAATTTTTTGAGGCCACTCCGCCTGCGAGCTGGATTCAGGCCTCGTCTCCGCTTGATCCGCACAAAGTCGAACAAGCGGCTGTCACACTTTTCGTGGACGATTATGCTGACGCAATTCCGTTCCCGAGCTTAGAGGAGGGGATCAAACACAGCGAAGACCAAAATCAGAGAGTTTCGGACACGCTTGGCACCATCGGACTTGCCCAAAATCTTGATAAGCAGGAGTCCATTCCCTACCTGAGCGGCATAGGGGCTTATCGGAACGAGCAGATTTTATTTCGACCCAATCGTTTGCCTGGTCGAACGCTTGCGGTTGCTCGGTACTTAGGCTCTCGCCTGTCGGGAAGATTTGCAGTGGGAGTGGAGGTGCAATTCAGATTGCTGGCTGGGAAGGAGGCTTGGGCAAGGATGGGGAAGTTTTGGACTAGTCAAGTGCAGTTTAAGTGGCGCTCAGTGGTCTTCAAGGGCTACGTGCTCAATGCTGTGCTTTCTGGCATCGAGAGTCTAGCGCGCTCGAACGGCCCTTTGCTGGACAGCGATCTCGCCCCGCTGGAGAGTTTTCTTGCTCGTCGAGGCCGGGTGGTCTTGAGAGGCGTCGCGAAGGCCACGCCCACCGGCGAGATCAGGAGTCTCGACAATCTCGCCGTGCTTGGGAAATTCGGGATTGCAGCAGTTTCCATCGAATGCAGAGTTCGCAGACTGGTGTGGCTTCAGTCGTTGTTGAAGCACCCGATTGAGGGAGCTCAAGTTCTGGCTGTCGTTTTTGGGAACTTGAAGGTGACGGTGGGAAAGGAGGAGGTGGATCAGGCAGGAGTTCTTTCAGGCAGTGAGTCGTCCATGAATCCGTGGGCGCGCCAGTGGTTGCGCGATGTCTCGGCACTGGAGTGTTTTGACGACGGTGCAGTTCTCTTGGAAAGGTATAATATGAGTGCGCTATCGTTGATTACGGAGGGGAGGGAGGATTTCGTTCAGCTCGACGTTCGGGGCCTCAAGTCTCACTATTGGACACATCGTAGTGAATATGAACGACGACGACGGGTTCGCGGAGGAGGGGGTGGGCAGTTTAGATGCTGGGCGAAGCTTGACGATGGCACGAGATGTACGGCATGCTTCGACACGCGCGCTGCACTAACCTCGCACTATGTCCATATGAAAGGTGGGGAGCACGGGGCACAGATTCTAGGACGTGTCGCATGTGTAAGCAACCAATGCATCGTATGTGGTTCTGTATTTGCAACATACGCACAGGCCCAGAAGCACCTCACAGCAGCACTACATACACATGTCTGCAAAGATCGAGGCCGCTCTGGCAATTTTGTGGTTCCCAAGTTTACATATTGCCGTCTATGCGAGTTTGGCTCTGAAGATTCAGTGGTGCTGCGTTATCACATTCTTAACGAACATCTCAAGCCATACCTTGACCAGCACATTATCGATTTTGGCTTTGAGATTGGCGACGAGATTGAGACTCGCTCGAAGGACTTCCTGATAGATGTCGTGGCTTCTGGCGTCGGCGCCCGAGGTTCCCGAGGAGCAGCGGTCGAAGGTGGCCAAGAAAGGCGAGTCGAAGGAGGCGGCCCAGCGCAAGTTGCTTTTTCAGCTGGAGAGCCGCATCAGGAGCCTAGAGTACGGCAGCGCAGCCCAGACTTATCTTCCCAAAGAGCATGTGCTCGTGGAGGCGGGAACATCGGAGTACAAGAAATACTTGACGGAGGTGGAGAAGAGGGGGAAGGATCACGATCTAGGCCCTCCCGAGCTCCATGTGTTTGGAGCAGTTCTCTTAGGTATCGACAACTTCTTGAATCAGGGAGATTGCCCGCTGGAGGTTCGCAGGTACAAAGGCATCGGAGGGAGGATCCGCATGATGATGGAGAAGGGGAGCCCCGAGGATGCGTCGATGTGGATCAAAGAGTGCGGGTTTTCGAACACGTTCGATTCCAAGGTGATGAGGCTCACGCTATGTCTTCGGGGTCACGTCCTGGTGGCAAGGGGTGCGGAGGCCGCGGAAGAGCTCAACAAACAGCAGGCCGACGCGTGGGGCGGGGCGCCCACAGATCCGTCCTTCGAAAAGATCCTTCAGAGAAGCCCGATGGAGCTGCCCGTAGTTGAGAACCATAAGCTGGTGGAGATCATGAGTGTCTTGGTGCATATTCTGAGGGCCGCGGGAGGGACTAGAAAGCTAGGCCGTGCCCCCAGGGGCGCCCTTGCCAAAGGTCTCGGGAACAAATGACCCGACCTGTGTGCTCTGGACTGTAAAATCAGACCCCTGGACTTTTGAACTTTTTAATTCAGGTCCTGGGGGAAAGTGCCCTGGCCTGTTCGGGCCTGTCCGCTCGCGGGGTGGTTCTGGGCTCCTATCTCCTGGGGAGAAGGGGAGCCTGGAGCTGCCCAGGGGGGTGGCTTGCGTGAGACTGCTGCTGGGTCCTTGGGGTTCCCTGGGGGTCGGGGTGGGGGTGCGGGGCGTCTGGTCAGTCTCTACGGCCATCCCCCTGCGGGCAGCAGGCGTTCCGACCGAGCTAAGTCGTGATGTGTCACGGCTCCTCGGCGACGCTGATCAGTCAGTTTTGATGTGCCGTGTTGCAGGCTGGCCCAGAGCATAGTCAGAGACATTGTTGAACATTGCTTGAATGGGAGAGTGAAGTGAAGTGAAGGAAAGAGGAGGACGGGGAGGAGGGGGAGCATGAGGAGGAGGAGGAGGAGGAGGAGGAGGAGGAGGAGGAGGAGGAGGAGGAGGAGGAGGCGGGGAGGAAAAGAGGAGGAGGAGGAGGAGGAGGAGGACGAGGAGGAGGGGGATGCGGAGGAGGAGGAGGAGGAGGAGGAGGAGGAGGAGGAGGAGGAGGACGAGGATTAGGAGGATGAGGAAGAAGAAAAGGAGGGGGAGGAGAAGGAGGAGGAGAGGAGGAGGATAGAGGTGAAGGTGGAAAGAGGAGGACAGGAGGAGGAGCAGGAGGAGGAGGAGGAGGAGGAGGAGGAGGAGGAGGAGGAGGAGCAGGACGAGGAGGAGGAGGAGGAGGGGGACCCCACTCCTTCATGGCAACTCCTCTTCTCCTCTTCCCCCTCCCCCCGGGACAGGCGGCGCACCCCGCTGGCAGCTGGCGGCGCTCGGCTGCCCGCGGCCAAACGCCCGTCGGGGGCCCTGAAGCTCGCCTGCGCCGGGAGTGGAGGAGAAAGTGGGGAGGAGGAGGAGGCGGAGGAGGAGGGGGGGGACCAGTGAAAACCCAAGAGTCACTAACGATGTTGGAAGAAACCCTCCCCCATGCTCCCTCTTCACATGCCACTACAACGGTTCACTTCCACAGAGAGACCAACCTCGTTGGAAGACAACCGTTCAAAGACCCTGAAGCATGCCAAAACGTTGTTTTCTATATTCCAACGCCACGGATGAACCTAACTGTTGCGTCTTGACGATCCTGAATCGTGCCAGAACGCCATTCCTGGGACCTCAACTCCGCGAATCATCGTAACTGCTGCGCCCTCAAAATCGTGAACACATCCAAAACCACTTCTGGTACGCCGACCATGGGATTCCGTGGAACCCTTGCAATTTTGAGTCAAGAATGTGCGCGGCGCTGAAGAGAGAGTCGCATTATGAAAGGGAGCCGCCTTCAATTCGTGAAGCTCTGGCACACTTTCAAAACGAATGCGCGCGGCGCTTAAGCGAGAGCCACATTTTGAAAAGGAACCGCCCTCAATCAGTGAAGCTCGTGCAACTTTGTAAAATGAATGTGCTCGGCGCCAAGGCGAGAACCACATTTTGCAAACCACCCGCCCTCAATCCGTGAAGCTCTTGCAATTTTTGCAAGCGAAGATGCGAGGTGCTAAGGCGAGAGGCACATTTTGAAAACCACCCGCCCTCACTCCGCGAAGCTCTTGCACATGTTTAAAAAGAATGTGCGCGGCGCTTAGGCGAGAGCCACATTTTGAAAACCACCCGCCCTCAATCCGTGAAGCTCTTGCAAAAATTTGATATAAAGATGCGCGACGCTAAGGCGAGAGCCATATGTTGAAAACCACCCGCCCTCCACCTGTGAGGCTGTTGCCAATGTTTAAGCTTCAGGGTCAAAATTGTTGAGGAAGTCTCAGGCGAAACCCTCGGGGTGCGACAGGGAGGATTTATTTATAAGGAGAAGGAATTGCGGATGATGGAGGAAGAGTGGAGTGGAGTGGAGTGGAGTGGAATGGAATGGAATGGGCGCCACCACGAGGTGAAATCCCTAACGAACTACCTGAGGCCCTTGCTGCCTGCTGGGCTCGGGTCAGCGCGTTCAGCCACAACCCTCTCGCCAACCTTCGGATATATTCTCGTCTGGTGGAGGAAAGCGTCTCAGTGCACGGAGCTTTTAAATCATCAGGTACGAGCTCGTTACAGAAGACGCCACACGTTTGACGAGGAGGAGACCAGGGAGGGGGAGGAGGAGCAACGCAGACATCTTGCTGCCATGAGGGGCGCTGCATCAAGATCGAAAGGGCTTACCTGGCCATGAAAAGGACATCCGACCCAGATCTAAGGAACGGCCCGAATACCAAGTGTCTTAACTGTAGGTTGGGAGGGGCAAGGGGCGGAGAAAAGATGAAGAGAAAATATGGATATGAGGGGAAAAGGGGAAATACGGACAGGCGAGGAGGAGACAGAAGCGTGGTAGGGGTAAGTCGGGGGATGATGATTTGTTTTGATTGCGGCGCACAGCTCTCCCTCGGTCTGTGCAGGCGTTGGGGCCAACGACAACAGGGAGGAGGAGGAGCGGGGAGGAGGAAGAGGCGGAAAGATGGACAGGTAGCTGCAGGAGGTGAACGAGGGTTGAAGGAAGGCAGGATGCAACTGATGAGGAAGGCGAAGAGACGCTTGAGGGGGAGGAGGCGCCAAGGCACGGCTGAGGACGGCAAGCTCACCGAGTGGCCCCCAACGCGCGCGCAGCAGCTGCGAGGGCCCTTCGGGCATGCCGCTGATCAGCCGCACGAGAGGCGACTTCATTAGACCTTAAGTGCAAGAGCAGCGAGCACCAAGAGCAGCCGCCCGTTCGAAAATCGGCTCAGCTGCTCTTCTGGGATGGAGGGTCAGCCTGACCTGGCAGGAAGGGGAGCAGTGGGTCGCAGGAGGACCCCTGTGGCTCCCCTCTGACCCCATTCGGCGTGGAAGCCCATTCGGCAGTATCATGGGCAGCCGAACGGGCTGAAATCCAAGATGCTCGTTGAAACCGCGCCCGTTCGGCGAGCCGAGTGGGCTAGATCTTGGGCCCACTCGGCGGCCGAGCGGACTCAGACGCAGAGTGGGCTCGGAAGCGAACTCTGTATTGAACATTTCCAGAAATCCTCCGATGCCTCCTGAGGCTTCCGGAGGCCCAGACAAGATGAAACACATCAACATCCACATGCTAGTCCTTCTCCTCTTCGTCATCCTCTTCCTCCTCTTGAACCTCCTACTCCCCTTCCTCCCACTTCTAAATGTCCTACGTTTCGTCCCCATCTACTCTCGGCGAGGCGAACCTGAGGGGGAGTATCCCGAGGCTGGAAAACCTCCGTCCCTCCATCCCCGCTCCCTGCACCCTCCCCTCTCTCCTCCTGCCGCGAGCCCCGCCCCTCCTCCTTCTCCTCCTCCTCCTCCTCCTTTTACTCCTCCTCCTCCTCTTCCTCCTCCTGGATCCTTCCTTCCTCCTCCTCCTCCTACTCTTTCCTCCTCCTCCTCCTTCTCCTCCTCCTCCTCCTTCTCCTCCTCCTACTACTCCTCCTGCTACTCTAACTCCTTCTCCTCCTGCTGCTCTTCCTCATGCTCCCCCTCCTCCTCCTCCGCCTCCTCCTCCCCCTACTCCTACTCCTCCTCCCTGCTCCCTTCTCTCCCCCCTCCTGCCTCGACGACCGGCCCTCCTCTTTGCGGACGGAGCACCGACGAGGCCCGAGCAGCCACTACAGCGGCCGGAGGAGCGGCTCGCTCAGCGGGCCGAGCCGCGGCTCGCCGCGGCCGGGCGGCGGCGCGGCAGGGAGCTCGGCGCCCGTCGGCGGCTGGGCCCACGTCCTCGCACGGTGAGCCGAAGAGGGCCTTTTGGAGCTTCCCTCCTCCTCCTCCTCCTCCTCCTCCCTCCTCCTCCTACTCCTCCTTCACCTCCTCCCCCTCCTCCTCCTCACCCCATCGAGACATCCTTCTCCTCCTCTCTCCTCCTCCTCCTCCTCCTCCTCCTCCTCCTCCTCTCCTCCTCCTCCTCCTCTCCTCCTCCTCCTCCTCCTCCTCCTCCTCCTCCTCCTCCTCCTCCTCCTCCCCCTGCTCCGACTTCTCCTCCCCTTCCTCATCATCTTCTTCACAACCATCATCATTATCACCATTATCATCATTAGCATCACCACCACCACCATCATCGTCATCATCAGCAGCATCATCAGCATCATCATCATCATCATCATCATCATCATCATCATCATCATCGTCATCGTCATCACCATCATCGTCATCATCATCATCATCATCATCATCATCATCATCAGCATCAACATCATCATCAGCATCGTCATCGTCATCGTCAGCATCATCATCAGCATCAGCATCAGCATCATCATCAGCATCAGCATCATCATCATCGTCGTCGTCGTCATCACCATCCCCATCATCATTCATCATCAACACTCATCGTCATCATCATCATCACCACCATCATTACCATCATCATCATCATCAACATCGACATCATTGAAAACATCATGAGCATCACCACCAACATCATCAGCATCATCATACACAGCAGCATACTCATCAACAGTATAAACATCGGCATCAGCATCATCATCATCATCACCATCGTCATCATTCATCATCGCCATCATCATCACCACAATCATCACCACCATCACCATCATCATTACCATCATCATCATCAGCATCATCATCATCATCATCATCACCATCATCATCATCACCATCATCATTATCATCATCATCCTCCTCATCATCATCATCATCATCATCACCATCATCATCATCATCACCATCATCGTCAACGACAACAACATCATCATCTGCATCCCCGACCTTCTCTTCGTCCTCTTCCTCCCTCTCTTCCTCCTCCTTCTCCTACTCCTCCTCCTTCCCTCACCTGCCTCCTCCTGGTCCTCCTCCTCCTCCTCCTCCTCCTCCTCCCTTCCGTTCGTCCCTCCCTCCCGACCCACCGCTTACCCGCAACACCTGCCTGACTGTACTTCGCGCTGCCCGCTGCCACGCCGCTTCAACTGTGCATGGGGGAAGTCACATTGGTGGTGAGGGGAGCTGCTGGGGCCACCACGGCGCAGGCTGCTCCTGGCGTTGACCAGGGGCGGCCGCGGATCAAGCGTGGCCCACGCAGGGCCCATAGCCTCATGCCCCACGCCACTCCTCTGCTTGAGTCAAGGCCCTCTCTCCCGTCATCCCTCGACTCGGCCCTTGGTGGCGATCAATCGTTTGCTGCGTTCAAGCCGCCCCGCCCAGCGGCGAGGGCCGCTGGCTTGGGGGGGTGGGGTGGTAGGGCTGCGTCTGGATCGGAGACCATCGCCAAGGAGGAGGAGGAGGAGGAGGAGGAGGAGGAGGAGAACACAAGGCGAGACGGACAGTCCAGAGCGGGGACATATTTCCATCTGGCGCCAGACCACAGGCACATATGGCCGAGCTGAGGCCAGGTCTGACGATGAACTTGCCAATCGTTCTCGCCCCTCCCGACGTGCACGACCAATCGGGAAATAATGAAGCCCAATTGTCAAAATGATTGTCTGCCCAATCTCCATAACAATGATGCGGGGGGTGGGCACTGGAACCGGGAGGGCCACGATGTCAACCCGAATCACGGCGGTGGCCAGACTGCAACTTGCCACTGTAGACGGGCGAACTTTGGCGGGGCGTCGGCTGCCATCTTGCGGTTGGGGATGTGCTAGCACTGCGTGCCCTGCGCCATATCACCCATCTTCCGCAGGAGGTCGACTGTCTGGGCGAGCTCCCCGAGGGAAGCGACGGTTGGGAGACATGTGGGCCCAGCTGCTTGAAGACCAGGCCCCTGAAACTGAGGACCGACACGAGCAGGAGGAACATGAGCATAGCGTCTGCCAGGAGACTCCTCTTGAGACGACCCCCTGTGATGACCCGTCGCTCCAATGCTGGAAACTGCCTCGCCTGCCGCCAGGAGGAGAGGACGGCGGGCTCCCGGCCCCCGACGCTACTCTCGCCGACGACTCGGCACCCGGACCCGATGCGACCTCCGCTCTCGCTGTGCGGCAATGTTCGCACCTCCGCCACTGCGCAGTGTTCCCCTTGCAGCCGCGGCCGGTGCACGTCCAGCGGGCGCCCTCCGGGTTCCATGGGCCGCAGACTGGCGGCGGGCGCAGAACGGAGAGCGGTGGCATCCCTGCGCGGACCCCTGGGAGAAGCTCTCAGGGGAGCGCGAAGAAGGTGCGCCTAGCAACATTGGGTTCGGGAAACCTTGACCAGATCGCTTGAGGGGAGAGGGGGAGGAGAGGATACAGTGGGTGCCAGTGCACAAGAAGCCTTCCACAGGAAACCCAACCCTGAGACCCAAGAACGTCCATGGATTTTTGGTATGGGAATGTCGCGCTTTCCACAGCAAAACCATCGAAATCGAAGAAACCCAGGGCACCCTGGAGGCAAGCAGGGTGTTTCTTGGCATGGGTCTCCACTGTATGAGGGGGAAAGAGGGAGGACAACAGGTAGAGGGAGGAAGGAGAGGAAGGAGGATGAGAGTGAGCGACAGAGAGGAGGATCAACTCGAAGAAAAGGGTGATGACGAGGAATTGACGAAGAACAGCAAGAGGAGAGGAGGGGAGGGCAGAGGAGGAGAAGCATACGGATGCTCTGGGAGGAGGGGGAGGAGAGGAGGGCGGAGGAGAAGAGTGCATAGTGGGCCCAAGCAAAACAATCTGGACAATTACCCTCTCCCCGCCCACCCCACCGGGCAGTCTTGGCACCGCCAGCCGGCCTGCCCCTCCTTAGGTGGCGACGGATGCCGCCTGCCAGGGCTGAACCTAAACGGTGTGTTTCGTTTTCGTTTTGTTTTCGTTGTCCCTCGTTTTGTCCTCCATCCACCTCTACCGCAAAACGAAATCGAAACGAACACGGCCCACGAAATCGCCAGAACACCGTTTAGGTCCAGCCCTGCCGCCTGCTCCAGGAGCTTCCGCGGCACCTATCCCCACCCAGGGGGGGCACGCTGGGAGATTTAGCCGACCATGTTGCAGTACTGCTGGGTCCAGGCTGGGTTGGGGCCTCCAGTGCCTAAACTTCCTGAGTGGAACAGTCCCAAAAATCCGCGCAGCTCTCCTTTTTGGCGGGGGTCCCCGCAGCGATCGGCGGCACGATTTTCAGAAACGCAGCGGCTAGTGGTGGAGATGGGAGCTGCGACAATAAAACGCACCCTCGCGCTTGCATGTCAGACGGAGGAGGAGGAGGAGGAGGAGGAGGAGGAGGAGGAGGAGGAGGAGGAGGAGGAGGAGGAGGAGGAGGAGGAGGAGGAGGAGGAGGAGGAGGAGGAGGGGGAGGAGGAGGAGGAGGAGGAGGAGGAGGAGGAGGAGGAGGAGGGTCCACACCGTGCCGTCGCTCCACTGGATCGTCGGGGCGTGGGAGCCCTCGGGCCCCAGGGAGCCGGAGAGCCGGCGGCCGTTCGCGAACTCGACGCGGACGGTGCCCTCGTCGTAACTGCCGACGCCGTTCCACTCCGCGCTCACGGAACTCGCGTGCGTCAGCCTCGGGAGACGGAGGAGAAGCATCTGTACGTACGAGAGCAGAAACTCTGCAAAGGCCTGGTCGGACTGCTCGTGTCAGAGATGGGCCCCCGTCCCACACCATTTCCCCGGCGCGCGCCGGGGGCGGCGCTGGAGGCGCCGCTTGGGGTGGCGGGGAGGGGTCCAGCGCGGACCCAAGAAACCGGCGCAGACCTCTGCAGAGTCGCGGTCTGGAGCCGGCGTGTCGCGGCGGCGGCCCCTGCGACGCGCTGTGCCCTGCGAGCGGATGTAGCGTGTCGCCCCGCTTCGCGGGATGGGAGGCTGGAAAACGCTCGGGACGTTGACGCTTGGAGACCGGGGCGTGGTTAGCGTGTCGCGCCGAAACGTGCTGGGCCAGAACTGGCTACGTGACCCGCTCAGGAGTAGGCTCCTACTCCAGGGAGGAGGAGGAGGCAGAGGAGAAGGAGGAGGAGGAGGAGGAGGAGGAGGCGGAGGAGGCAGAGGAGGAGGATGAGGAGGAGGAGGAGGAGGAGGAGGAGGAGGAGGAGGAGGAGGAAGACACTCAGCAAGAACGTCCCTGACTGTAAGTGTGCGCGTTTCCTTGCCTCCCGAGGCCTGACGGAGCCGCTCGCGGGGCCGCCGGAGGCCGTGCAGTTCACGAGGCGCTCCCCCGGGAGCCTGCTCGGCGGGGCGTCTTTGAAGGGCTGCCTACGGGCAGTCCACGCGGGGGCCCGCGAGCGACGACCGGAAACGGGTCTTGCGCGAGATGGCATAAGTCAGGAGGAGAAAAAACACACAGACACAATTAATCGTCCACTCCCAAGAAAATATGGGAAAGTATGGGAAGTGGGGGGGAAGACAAACACCCAGAAAACATGGGCAAATATGGGGGATATGTTTATTTGTGTGTATTTATTTGTGTGTCCCAGGGCCCCTTTAATAAGGACATGCAGCGGTGACCTTCGCGGGCCGCTGGCGAGGGGAGCCACAATGGAGACGAGGGCGCTTGCGCGCGGCCTTGCGCGGGCAGCTGAAGCGCCACTGTCGGCGCAGACGACACCGTTGCTTTACGTCGTCCGTGTGAGGACAGAGGGAGGCCCCCAGACCACCCGCGATCGCGGCAGCTGGATGCGTGGTCAGACCCGCTGCCGCGGTCGGGGGGGTGAGGGGCAACGGTTGGGGGGGGGACCAGCTCAGGGAAGGAACATCGAGCTCGAATCGGCGATAGGGCCATCGTGCTAGCAGAAGGAACGCCAAATCATGAACGCATGAAGAACGATCTGACGAGTAGAGCCCCTCCCGAACCTACCTCGGCCCATATTCCAGCGTCTTGACTGCACACCGCCGACGGATCGGGGACTTGGCGGGGTGGGCGCTCAGGCCCCTGTCAGCGAGGAACGGGCGAAGGGGGTCGAGGCGCTCCCCGTGAGCCCGCGTGTCCCCTCCCTGGGTTGCCCCTGACATCGGGGGTGCCGAGGTGGTCGTTCGCTTTCCTGAGGGTGGTCCCCGCCAGCCTGCAGGCCCAGCTCCTCCCCCGCCTCGCTCCCCCCCTCCTCCTCCTCATCCTTCTCCTCCTGCGCATTCCCCGCCCCCGTCCATCCTCCTCTCCTCCTCGTCCTCCTCCTCCTCCTTTCATTTGTTTTCCTCCTTCGGGCCATCGGATTCGAACAAGTCTCAAGCGAGAACCGCATTTTGAAACCGAGCTATCAATGTAACTGTTGGACTTTTCTTAAACGAATGTGCGTGGCGCTCCAAAGAATGCCGCATTTTGCACCCCCCTCCCCCAGCCTGCATCCGTGTGGCTGTTTGATTTCCACAAGACGAGTGTGCCGGCACTGGGGCGAACACTTCATTCTAAAACGCACATCGGCCTCTACTCTTGTGCCTGTTGGGATCTTGTACATCGAATGCGCGTGGCGCTAAGGCGAACGCCGCATGTGAAAACGAACTGGCCTCCATCCCTCTAGCTGCGGGAAGCTTGTAACACCAATGTCGGCGCTACGTGGGCGGCTCTCTCTCTCTCTCTCGCGCTCCCCTCAAGCTTCTTGGGGTCAAGCTTGGGGTCGGCCTCAGGTGGCCCAGGGCCGGTCCCTCCGGAGCCCCATTCCATGTTTTTCTTCGAGCCTAGACAGGGCCGTCGCGGGGACGGCCCTGCAGGTGGCTCCCACAACCAGAGGTGGCGGCAGAGCCCGCTGACGCGTGGCGTAAGATGGTGGAGCTGGTGCGCACACGCAGCGCCATGACATCGACATCTTCATCATCTGAGTCTGCCTGCTGCTGCCTCCTCACCTTGAGCCTCACACCACGGTTAGGCTCAAGTTTCGGTAGTGCGCACTGCTGACCCAAACAGCCGGGGGGGGGGGTCTTCTGGCGAGGGAGGGCCACCCCCTCCTTGGCGAGCCTGTTCCACGCCTGGCGGCTCCAGGCGGCCCTCCAGTCCACCACCACCCTTGCCGCGCCCGCGGGGCCCTCGGCGGCGGCTGGTGGTGCCGAGGCTGGCTGTGGCCTGCCATGGGAGGAGGGGGGGGGGGGCGGGCTCTTGCTCCAGCTCAGTCGGGCGGCCTCTCAAACCCCAGGGGGGGAGGAGGAGGAGGAGGAGGAGGAGGAGGAGGAGGAGGAGGAGGAGGAGGAGGAGGAGGAGGAGGAAGAGGAGGATGAGGAGCAGGACGAGGAGGAGGAGGAGGACGACCATGATGATGATGCTGATGATGAGGAGTAAGAGGAGGAGGAAGATGAAAAGGAGGACGAGGAGGAAAAGGAGGAAGAGGAAGATGAGGAGGTGCACGCCCGAAGTGGGGTCCGCGGCCGGCGGAGGCCTGCTAGGGGGGGGGGACTCTTGCCGAGGAAGGGGGTTCGCCTTCTCGGGCAAAATAGCGCAAGACAGACCAGACCGAGGGGGAGAGAGGAGGATCGAACATCGCCAGACCTATCCCCATCCCCACTGATGGAGGAGCGGGCCCGGACGCCTGGCCTGCAACAGCGCGACGCCCTCCTGTGGGCGTCAGCGTACCCAACGAAATGTACGCGATCCCAGGTCGAGGCCATCGCACTTCGGAGATGACTGCTGTTGCTTCTTCTCATTGTTACAGTACTCTTGTTGACCCATCTCACGCTAACGCTCCCAATCCATCCCATCAGTCGCCGGCTGCGAGCTCACAGGGAAGCGCTCAGAAGGTAGGTTGCGCGGCAAGAACCCAGAACAATACAGTTTCATGTGCTGACGTCAAGCTTGTATTACGAAGTTTCCCGCTGCACCTTCTCAAAGAAAACGCGCCTTCATCAAACAGCCAGTCTACGTGGCAATGGACAAAAACCGACATGTAGCCCTCAGGTTGCAATGAGCACGCGGTGAAATTCTTTCCTGCCCGCCAATCATCAGCCAACCTCTTTTTTCCGAAGTCCCGAACCACCTGCTTCGCCGGCCGTGCCCACAGATACACAGCAGCACGCAGCAGATTTGAAGCACGGTTAACATGGTGTTCAAGCTGATAACGTCGACGCAATCATCGCTTCGAGCAGTTGCGGCGCAGACGCGCGTCAGCGATTCGCGGACGGAGGACAGAGGCAGTCGCAAACAATTTCGGAAATCCTGAACCCCAAAACCATTTCATCTCTTGGGGGCGCACTTTTCATTTTCGCCACCTTCCGCCGCCCTTCCGCCGAGGCGACGCGCCGATCCGCCTCCCCCGCGCGTTCGAGCGCTGCCCCGTCGTGCGAAGGGACTGCCTGGCGCCGCGCGCCGATCCTCGCGCGAGAAACTGCGTTCCGACACTACACCCTGCGAGATGCTTAAGAAATCATGGGTTAAGAAATTCATAGTCTCAGAACTTTAGTAAAAACCCAAACTTTCCACTCAAATCTTAGGATTTACATTGAAACTTTAAGAATAATCAAGACTCTGGCCAAAAAAATAGGTTTTCTTAAGCATCGCCTAAGGTGTACCACCGATTGTCCACCTGTCCACCACCTGTCCGGCCCCGCCGCCCCGGCCAAATGCCAGAGGGAAGGGGGGGGTGAAAGACCGAGCGCGGGCAAGGACGCCCAGCGACTGGGGGGGATACCCCGGAGGGGGGAAAAAAAGGGGGAGGAGGAGGGGAGAGGAACCGAAGGCGGAGGAAGCGGGCGCGCGGCCGTGGGACCTGAGCCACCGACCCCCGCCGTTAGGCGCGCGCGCGCCCGCCTGGGGAGGCCAGGGGCGGGAAAAGGGGGGGGGAAGGGAGGCCTACGCAGCACAGCCCGCGCCGTGGCCCTGCGAATGGCCACAGAGAGCTGCTGGAAGAGGCGAACTGCCCCGGCGCCCGCCTCTTCTCGGAGGCGCCCGCCGCCGGACCGAGCCAGGCGGCGGAGGGTGTCCGCGCCCGAGGGGCCCCATCCGCCTGACGGTTCCGCCACCAGGGGGACGAACATTATCCCCTGCCGCCTGCACTGGACCTCGGTGTCCAAGTGCTCACGCTTGGTCGCCTCGTACGCTTGAACCTCCGCTGGTCTCCGCCGGGGGAGGCCGCCTCGTTTTACTTCCGCCGGGCTTCCGCCGCCTTCCGCGCCGGAAGAGATGACAACTCCTTCGATCCTCGAAGGCAAGGCCATGTTTGGAACGCCCCACATGAAAAACTAGGTTGGAGACACACCGCATGACTTGTTCTCCACAGGCGTTGTCCCAATACGGTCGCGAGCCGGCCTAGTTTTCGAGCGCCCCGTCGCCGCCCCACCGCCGCGTTACCAAGGTGTCATCAGACGGTGGCTAAGCCGACCAACGGCACGAACCACGTCTTCAGAATTCGTTTTCTTTTCAAGGGGGGAGGCGTTCAACTTCTCGTCGGTCTCCCTGGCAAGTCCAGCGATACTCTAAAACGTGAAGGGTACGAAACTAAGTTGTTCAATGCAAGCTACTGGCCACCAGGGGAGTGGGCCACGACCCAGGCATCCTACACGAAACACTCAGGACGCAAGCGGTCCAGAAGAACAAATGGCATGGCCTCGCTCTTGTACCACACGTTTTTTACCACCCCCTCCCCTTTATCCAACAGCGTGCACTTGCCGCTTGCACTCTGATGGGCGGAGGGGGGTTGTAATGCGGGCGGGAAGGAGTTTGGGACTTGGGGTGGAAGAAGGCATGTTCTGCATGATCGCTGGCCGTGAGCGGGTGGCATCTCTCGCCTGCTCGAGGGCGCTCGAATTTTCACGCGCTGGGGGTCAGGGCGGAGCAGGTGGGGGTGGAGAGGTGCTATCTACCTGGAAGGGCTGCATTTTCCACAGCCCGTGATGCTCCGGTTTTTGCGCTGCGGGAATAAATCAGAACCAAATGCAACGCTTGAGCAAGCGGAAAAGGATCTTGACACAACGCATGGTGGGGGTGGAAGTGGAGGATGATGCTATAAACCCAGCGGGCCACATGTTTCACAGCCCGTACTGCTCATCGTTACACGCTGCGGCCATAAGCCATCAAGCAGAATAGTGACGTTAGGATTGACCGTGCAATTGTCTCGGCGATGGCCTTATGATGGAGTTCAGCCCGCTATTACAGCATCAGGAGCGCGGTGTACCAGCCCCGCGTCGTGTTTGCAGACGCTGGCTGCGCATGCCCTCGGTGAGGGCTGAGGGTGGAGGAGGGGGGCCTCACTTTCAGTGAAATATTGTTGCGAATGGTATTTGAACGGCACTTGTGTCTCTGAGACTCCCGTAGCCAAAAACAATAGCTTTTCGATGCTCGTTCCGTCGGGCTCGGCCCTCGTCTAGACGAGCGCGCTCCACTACTCGCAAAGCAACTACTCGCAAATGGCCTGGATCCGCCGCGGGGGCTCCACGGCAAGTCCCACCGACGCATACATCTGCTTGCTTCGGACGTTTGCGAGCTGGCATCTTGCGAGAGGTGGAACGCGCTCGGTGAGACTCGTCGCGAACGCGTCGCCGGCCCTGGGTCCCCCGCGCCCGCGCGGCCCCGACCGCCGCGCCGAACGGGCGGCGGGCGCGGCGCGCGGGCCCTGCGCCGGCGCTCCGCGACTGTACTCCGCACTGCGGAGCACGGCTCCGTGCGGCTGCAGCGCAGCCTGCTGGCTGCAAGGTCGCTGCAATAGTGAGGGGCGGTGGGGGCGAGGAGGAGGAGGAGGAGGAGGAGGAGGAGGAGGAGGAGGAGGAGGAGGAGATGGAAGGGAGAAGAGGAGGAGGAGGAGGAGGAGGAGGAGGAGGAGGAGGAGGAGGAGGAGGCTTGGGTACTTGGAGACTACCTCGAGCGTCATGGGACGCTCGCTCGGCTCAGCGGCCGCGGCACCGCCGCCAACGGAAGAGACAACCAACCCCCCCAAAGGCCACAGGCGGCAGGCCCAGAAAGGCCCAGGCCAGGCGCAAGGCCCGACCCGAGGAGCCCAAAGGCCCCCGCAACGAGAGCGACGAGCCCCGAGGGCACGCCCCCCCAAGCGCGAGACCAGCCATTCACTCCCCAGAGACGGGAGAGAAGGGCCGCATCCGCCAAAGAGCCACCAGGGCCCCCCCGATGCGCCAGTGGCCTAAAGGGGGAAGGGTGGCCCCTCCTCGCGGCTCAGATCGACGAGGCGAGAGTTACGACGGCGACGCGCCAATCGACCTGCATCAAACCTGTCCCCAGGATTCGGCCTGAGGTCCATCCACCATCACCCAGCCGACGACGCTGAGGAGCTGGGCGGCGAATCCGCACCCTCGTCCAGCGCCACCCCGTAGGTGTTCTTGGCCCACATCAGGAAGGCCTGCGTGGACACCCCATGCTTTTTGGCCTCCGACTCGAGCTGCCGCTTCGACAGCTGTCCGAAGAACTCCTGAACCTCCGCTATCTCCACCTCCGTGGGGTCCGTGTCCTGGCACTCCTCTGGCAGGTGATCCTCCCAGTCCTTGTCCCTGACCTTCCACGGCCCGCTGACGAAGGTGTGGCTTTGGGCTTGCTCCTGACAGCATCCCACTCGACATCGTAGGACACTCGAGCTCCTTTTTCCAGGTACGCCGTCGGGTCACGACCATCCTCATGAACTTTGCGATGAACGAAGACGTCGTGGCCACCGTCGTCAGGAGTGATGAAGCCGTAGCCCCTTTTCTCGAAGAACTTCTTGATGGTCCCGTGCTTGCCCTCCAGCATGGGGAACTCGGGCACGGGAGGCAGATGACCCAGCACTAGGCCACCAGCAGCTTCTCCTTGTTCTTCAGGCGAGTCCCCGTCCTCGTCCTTGTCCTCGCCCTTGAACTGGTACTGGAACTCAGCTGACGAGAAGGCGTGGCCAGGCGTGTCCTTCAGGCCCGCTTCGGCTGCAGCACCCTCCAAGCCTGCTCCTCCTCCTCGTGCGTGTCCAGGTCCTGCGGCAGGGTCCGCGGGGCAGGCGAGCGCGACCGAGAATGCGCGCGCATCACCATCGCGGGCCTCGACTCCAGCTTGCTCCTGATGAAGGTCAGCAGGAGGGCACGGCCATGCGCCTTCGTCCAGCAGCCCTGCGTCGCCTCCTTGCTGTTCCTGATGCGAACCTGCGCCTCGAAGAGCCTCCTCGCCAGCGCTCTCCGCGTCGCCGAGCTGGACGCCAGCGTCGAGGAGGGAGGGCGTCCGCTGCCTGGCTGCCGGCGTGCTCGGGGATGCCCTCGGCGGCGTAGTGGGCCGGCGACGCGTGTGCACCCTTCACCAGGCTTCCCCGCGATGGTGGTGCTGGACCTCGAACTGCATGTCCGACTTCAGCTCCGCCACACGCTCCTCCCTGCCTCCGAGGAGGAGGAGGAGGAGGAGGAGGAGGAGGGGGAGGAGGAGGGGGAGGAGGAGGAGGAGGATGAGGAGGAGGAGGGGGGGGAGGAGGAGGAGTAGGAGGAGAGGGTCTTCTCAGAAGGCTCGGAGGCCCTCCTCTGGCAGGACGACGACCAGCACGTCCTTGCTCCCGAACCCGACCGCGCAGGCCTGGGCCCTCTCGCCGAGCTCCTCCGAGAGGATGCTGCTCACGATGTGGAGCACGGGCCTCGTGCAGCCATCGCGCGGCGGCTCGGGCCCGCTGCGCCCCTTCCAAGATGCGCGGGCCCACCCCCCCTGGCCCCTGAGGGGGAAAAGGGCTTGAGCCAGAATGGCTTGAGCCAAAATGGCTACGAAGGAGGAGGAGGAGCAGGAGGAGCAGGAGGAGGAGGAGCAGGAGGAGGAGGAGCAGGAGCAGGAGGAGCAGGAGGAGGAGGAGGAGGAGGAGGATGAGGAGGAGGAGAAGGGGGAGGGGGAGAGGGGGTGGGTGCACGAGCCTCGCGGGGCTGGGCACAAACCGCGCTCGGGGGCGAGCGCTGACGAATCTGAGGCGCGCTCCACACCAGAGCAGAAAAGGGAGCGGCCGAGAAAGTGCTTGTTGCGGGAAGCCCTCAGCCAGAGGCTCATCTTCGGGTCCGTCGGACGGGGCCCGAACAGTCATTTCTGCACAGAACTCGTGCAAAAGGGCCGCTCTAGGGCTGGCCGGCAAACAATCCAGGCCGTCTTGAGAGCCAGCCCGAACAGCTTCTTGGAGGAAGTCCTATGCGGTACGCTGCCTCTCGGGTCGATGCGCCGCTTGTGTGCCGAAGCCGAAGCCCAATTCTGGCCCACAGCCCGAAGCCCGACTCTGGAACCGACGCCCGAATCTTCCTGGTCGATGCGCCGTTTGTACGCCGACTTTCCAACTGGGGAGCCGAAGCCCGACTCCGGCCCACAGGGCGGGGGGCTGCGATGACACTGTGCTGGGCCCCTGCGGCCGAGCGGGGCGGGGCGCCGGCCCTGCCCCGGCCCCCGCCGCCCCCCATTTGCTACCCGAGCCCAATGTGAAGGCAGGGAGTGCCAGTGGGCTACCGGGCGATCTCGTGGTCCAATCACTACCCATCGGTTGTCGACAGCAGGTGATCTTGGATTCCCAGACGGCCGTCCTACTTCAAGGGTCGAATGGTTGTCCTTTCTCTTTCTTCTTCAGGGGGCGGGCGGAGACCCAATCTACTTCCAACGCCTTCCTGCTTCATGGTTCTACCCACTTTTCCGACCAGCGTGTATGGGCAGCCGTGAAATTCTGTTATGTTTCAACCACTACGGACCATGACGGCCGTGATTTTCTAACCTTGCGTGTGCGTTCGGAAGGGGTGGCGAAGCTGCTCAGGGAGTTCGAACGGCGTGCCAGGCAGACCTGCGAGGAGAACCCAAAAGTGGTTTCAGGCCAACGAGGCGATTCATTTCCAGGAGGGCTTCGCGTGGAAACATACGTCGCGCTCAAAGGCAACAGTGCCGAACCAAACCGAACCAAACAAGACATGACACATCCACGGGATATGCACCATACACTCACATTGGAATCCACCGGTAACTTAGTATGAACATCCGAAGGGTTTCTCAGAGAAGTGCACGGAGACATTCTTTGCGAAATAAGATCAACCTGCGCCGCGAAACTGTCACTTTTACCCCGTGCGGCCTTGTCCTGAGTGAACGTTGTCGCCAGAGAGACGTCGCTGCCTCTTGACAGAGGGTTTCAATGAAAATGCCCACTAGCAAACTGTCCATCTGAGTGTAGTTCAGTATGGTGGGGGAGGAGGTGGATGATACAATCTGCCCAGCGGGCCGCATTTTTTCACAGCCCGTAAGCCATCAGGCGCAATGGTGACGTTAGGATTGACGGTGCACTTGGATCTGGACTGGCTTTAGAAAGATCAACCTGCTGTTGCAGCATCACGGACGCTGTATACTGGCCCCGCTCCAAATTGTTAGACACTGGCTGCACATACCCTCGGCGAGGGCTGGTAGTGGAAGGTGGGGGTTCCAAGTGCAGGCTGATTGAGATACTGCGAGGGCGGTTCTGGGACATCCTTGCCGCTGTGCACTGCTCTGTGCCTCAGCGGGCTTCTCATCCTATACAATGTCATTCGCCTTCTATTTCCTATCGTGCCCACACTGTCTACGTATTGTACCTCTGAGTTTGGTCCAGCGCTGCGTTCCGATTTCCGTTTTCTCAGATTGTGCCATCAAGATGCGACGGCTCACGCGAGCCAACGTTGATCCAACGCGCAAAGGAGGAGGAGGAGGAAGAGGAGGGAGGGAGGGAGGGAGGGAGAGAGGGAGAAGTATGAGGATCAGGAGAACTTTCCTGTTACGCCATCCACATATTTCGATGCTGACTTTGTTACCTCGTGCGGGTGTCGTTCGCATCGTGATAGTAGGAGGAGCAGGAGGAGAAGGAGGAGGAGGAGGCGGAGGAGGAGGAGGGGGATGAGGGCCGAATGGGGTAGCAGGACCAGTCCTAAACGACCCCCAGAAAGTGTATTGGAGTCTTAATCCTTCTCCTCCTCGATGCCACCTGCTCACATTTTCCTCCTCGAGGCGTAAGTCGAGTCTCTTCGATCCTCCTCCTCCTCCTCGTCCTCCTCCTATTCCTCCTCTTCCTCCTCCTCCTCTTCGATGGACCGCCTCCTCCTCCTCCTCCTCGAGATTCTCCTCCTCCTCCTCCTCCTCCTCCTCCTCCTCCTCCTCCTCCTCCTCCTCCTCCTCAAGGTCGCCTCCAGCTGGCCGAACCCTGACCGGTGCCCGCGGGCGGCGGCAACGGGGGGCCGGGGCGCTCCGGCAGCGGCGGTCGAGCGCACGCGCGCACGTCCTGGCCCTCGGTGAGCCTCCTGGCCACGGCCTGGCGGAAGACCTGGCAGGGGTCATCCATTATAGGGCGGCGAGATCTATACATATCCACTGCTCCCTGGCCAGGCCCAGCCTGAACCCAGCAGCGGTGTATACGCCACGCCCTCCTGGCTTGGCCAGGAGGGCGTATACACAGCTCCTGGGTTCAGGATGGGCCTGGCCAGGGAGCAGTGGATATGTATAGATTTCGTCCCCCGACATTATGGGAAGCGTGGTCGCAACGCAGATGCGTATCCGCGGCCTCGCGGGCCAAGCCCTGGGGCCGCGATCACGCGGATGCGGGGAGCTCTTGCGCGGAAGGCCCGCTGGGAACGCATCCGTGCGACCGCATAGCCGCGGGATCGCGCCCTGGATTGCAGAACTCGAGTGCGCATGTACGGATCTGTTGATGTGTCCGCCGCTCGTGAAGGAGGCAACTCTTGGGAAGCCTTCGTAAGAACGGAAGCGGAAACGGCAGCGCAGCGCGACCGGCCGGAGGCCGACCCGCACGAGGCGCAGTGCAGGGGCCGCAGTCCTCAGTGTTGCAGTCAACCCGGATAGTAAGGATGCGCGATAAGGATGCGAGGGCCTTGGACGCCCACTTCGAAGCGTTTCGAGCGGGGCGCGGCCAACGAAAGTGTCCAAGAGTGGACCCAGGAGGCAAGGATGCAACAAGGGTACCCTTGGGAGGGAGACCTATCCTTACTCTGCGGGTCGGTTGTAACCGTAGCCTCGGCGAAATCATGAATTCAGGCCTGCGGAGGGCTACTAGGCGCGATTGGGGTGCCATGGAGCCGGATTCAGTTGGATGATGCCCAAGACCAAGGCGGATTCGGCGGGATCCAGCCGGGCTAGGCCTGTTCTCGGCCACGGATAAACCAGCGCCAATGCGGAAGTTGCGCTTCCAGAGGCTGCATCCTAAATAGTCAGCCAGCATCGAAGCGAACAATCGGATCGGGAAGGAACAAGCATCGAATCGGTCTGCATCGGCACAGGGTTGGAATCGGATCGGCTCGGCCGGGCCAGGATACACCCAACAACGCCATGCAAACATCGGTCCGCGTCGGACCGTCGCAATATCAGAGTCGAATCGGGTCGGGCTGGACGCAATCGATATCGAATCGGATCGATCGGATCGAAACGGTGTCTGCCTCGTCGGCGGCGGGGAGCCCATGCAACCGGCGGCTCGGTCAAACATCGGGGCAAGAGCTTCTCGTTATCTATTTCCCGCGGCCGAGAACCGTTTTCGGGCTCTGGGCGTTCAGAAGACGGCCCAGGACAAAGAGCGGCTCCAGGAAAGGGGTCGAGCTGTATGGGGGGTCAGGTATTGAGAAAGTCTCGAGCTGCCAGGTGTCTGGGAGAGTCGAGGCTGTTGGACGTCGTGGGACCTTAGTGCGCTTCTGAAGGCCTGCGGAAGCCTACGGAGGCCTCTGGGGACCTCTGGAGGCCTTCGCGGAGAAGGCGGAGGAGAGCGGGAGGAGGACGAGGAGGGGACGAGGATGAGGATGAGAACCCCCAGCTCTGGAGACCCGTAGACCTCGCCCAAAATATGAAGGCTGTTTTGACCACGCTTTCGGCCTCGAGAGGCCCGCCTTCGGATCCCAGGGCCGCCAAATGGCTCGGGATGAATAACAGGTCCCACAGAAGCTATGAAGCCCGATTCGGAGGCCACTAAATCGGGTCAAACCCAAGACCAACTATTACACCAAAACAGCCCAATATTGACCGTGATTAACCCAGGCCGCAATGCACCAGGACCGCGACCGCGGATATACCAGCGCCGATTCTGAATTCCTCCCAAGAGTTTCAAGCGAGTTTGAGCATGGCCACGGAAATCAAGACGTCGGACGCCTGTGGTGAGGGGGTGGACTCAACTCTGCATGGCTGACGTCCAGGCACTCGTGCACACCAGCGTTGGCCTCCATTCCGTCGGTTTCGCTGGTTTTCGGTGCCTGGACAACACGCGTCCACACCTATGGCAGCAAGGCAATACGACATGATAGCCACCACAATCACGAAATGCACGTGCCTCCCGCCACTCCACCAACGCCCAACCTTGAAGTGCCCATACCGCGCGCGTTGCCTCGCGCCCAAGCCTGTCAGATTTGGGATATTGAAGACGGGGGCTATAGATTTTGCCTTGATGTACTTTGATGTCGCGGTGTTTTGGCGCGACGGTCGTGGACACTTAGAGTCCTCCCGCCAGTCCTCAGGCAAAGCAGCCCTCGTTTCGCTTCCGCAGGCTTCTGCTGAAGGCGAGGTGCTGACATATCGATCCCACGAAGACGAGGCCCTCTCTGGAACACGCTGCACGATAACTCAAAATTCTGCCTTCAACGATGATTGATCGAACCACTTGTATTTCCAGAAATCAGACGTCGTGACTTTTGTCCCAATTGTTCGTTCCGGGTAGTTTTGTCCCAGCTGTTCGTTCCGGGACCGGCTGTTCGTTCTGGGTGATTTTTTGACGGTCCGTGGGCCCGGCGAAGGTCCCTGGAGGCCGAACACGGCCAAAAACAGAGGTCACGTCTTTGTCGCGCCGAGAGGTGTGAGTCGTCGAGCCGACCGATCCGAGGCTCGCCAGTGGAGGAGAGGAGTCGCCATCGAACCAATCGAAACCGCGCGCAGATGCTGGATCGCACCGTTGAATCGATATCGAATCGTGGACAGGCCCACTTCTGAATAGGTCGCGGGACTGCGTGGACGGCGAGGGGATTACAGTCAACGCGTATAATGAGGATGCGCGGTTAGGCAAGGGCCTTGGAAGGCCATGTTGACGTTTTTCGAACGGGGAGCGGCCGAAAACAGAAGCGGAAGTTGCCAAGGATGGGCCGACGGAGCAAGCATGCAAGGGTAACCTTGGATTGTCTTTCGTCCCTACCACCCATGTTGACAGTACAATAGATACACACGCGAATAAATCTTCTAGAGAAATTCATGGGCACACCAGTCGGCCGATCTAGGACCTCTCGCAAGATGCCACCAGACCTGCAACGGGTACCCGGGGGAGTCGGGCAGCAAGAGAGTTCCGTGGGGCTCATGGCCTCAGGCCGGTTTCTTATCTGGCGTGCCCGCTGCATGAGCAAAACCTGATCCTCACGACTCCGCCCCCTTCCTCCACACCTCTGTCGTGGCAGTGTCCACCGCATCCTCCAGCCTCCCTCTCCCTCCTCGGCACTCGCCCCCCTCCCCCCATTCCTCTCCCTCCTGTCTCCTCTCCCCCTCCCCCTCCTCCCCCCTCCCCCCCTCCCCCCCTCCCTCCCACTCCAGCCCCCCCCCCCCTCGCACGCCCTGCGATGCGCGGCGCGCGGACCTCGTCTCGCGCCTGCTGAAGACTGCCCTCTCCTCCCCCCCTGCAGCCCCGAGCCCCTCTTGGCCCGCGGCCGGCCTCGAAGCGATCCTCGAGCCAGGGCGAGAACTTGTCCATGATCTCCTGTGGCAGCGGCCAGCAATCTTTAGGCACTCGCGGAGGTCCGCACGGATTTGTTGGGGACGCAGGACCCCCCCCCCTACTTCTCGGAAGCGTCTCTGACACTGGCGGCGGCGCTTCAGGCGCCGCCTAGGGGTGGGGTGAGGGGGATTCAGCGCCGACCCTAGAAATCAGCGTGGACATCCGAAAATGTGTGTGCTTCTGTAGTCGTCTGGTCTTGTACTCCTTCACTACAGCGCGCCTCATGCAAACCACCTCGGCCAACGACTCGCACCTGGCCGAGTACGCGAACTTGTGCGGCGTGGCAGTGTCCCACTCGCCGACGGTCGGCGGCGAGCGCGGGGGGGAAGTGAGAGGGAGGAGGCCGTCTCAGAAGGCGGCGGGGCTTCTCATCATCCCTCGCGCCTTCTGAGAAATCTTCCAGCTTTTCGGGAAAGGCTTGCAGTACTTCTCAGAAGGCTGGAGGCCCTCCGCGCCATCTGAGAAGGCCCGCCCCCGCTCGCTTCCCCCCCTCGCTCGCCGCCGAGACGGGGAGCCAGAGGCACGCCTCTCCGAAATAGGCGGGGGCAGAGATCGGCTGGGTACGCATCGCGCCATTGCCCACGGCGGCATGGGCCAGAAGCGGCGAGGAAGGGGGTGTACTGTCTGCCACCGTCCCTGCGCGGTATGGGCGTGTGAGGATGCCAGGTGCCGTCTGTCGGCGGCGAGCGAGGGGGGGAAGTGAGAAGGAGAAGGACTTCTCAGAAAGCGGCGGGGCTTTTCATCCCTCGCGCCTTCTGAGATATTTGTTTGTGTCTTCGGGGGATGCTTCGACAACTTCTCGGAAGGCCGAGGCCTTCCGAGCCTTCTGGGAAGGCCCGCGCCTTCTCACTTCCCCCCCCGGGCTCGCCGCCGAGTATGGTAGGGCTCCTGCAAGTCTTCTGAGGACCGGGCCCCTCCATCACGCCTGCTCGAGTGCGTCGCCCCCCTCCTAGGGGAACAAACAATGACATAAACATAAAAACTCGGAGGTCCGCGCGGATTACTCGGATCCGCGCTGGACCCCCCTGGCGGCGCCTCCAGCGCCGCCCCTGGCGCGCTCCGCGCGCCAGGGAGGGGAGTCCAGCGCGGATCCGAGAAATCCGCGCGGACCTCCGAGTTTTTATGTTTATGTCATTGCGCGTTCCCTTCATTATCGCTATGTCATTTTATGTCACTGTTTGTATGTCATTGTGTGTTTATGTCATAGTTATGTTTATGCTTATGCCATTGTTCGTTCCCCTACTCCCTCATTCTCGAGCCTCCTGGCCCGTGGCACGGAGGGAAAGTCTGCCGCAGGCAACCGGGTGGCGCTTCCTCCAGAGCTTCTGTATGACCCGCGCGCTCCAGGACAGCGTGGCCTCGTAGCCGCGGAGCTCCCTCGTCGCCTGGGTGAAGGCGTGCGGCCGATTCGCGAACGAGCCGGGGGCGAAGGAGACCCTGCTGAGCCTGTCCTGGAATAGCAACGGCGTGGCATAGACACAAACTTTCGCAGGACCCTGCGGGGTTCATTGCCTGGAGGGCCAACTTTCCACCAGGACATGGGGGTGAAGGGAGAATGGGGAGGTCCTCATCCTCCTTCTCCTTCTCCTCCTTCTCCTCCCCCTCCTGCTCCTCCTCCTCCTCCTCCTCCTCCTCCTGCTCCTCCTCCTCCTCCTCCTCCTCCTCCTCCTCCTCCTCTTCCTCCTCCTCCTCCTCCTCCTCCTCCTCCTCCTCCTCCTCCTCCTCCTCCTCCTCCTCCTCCTCCTCCTCCCTCTCCCATCAATGGTGTTGGTGGTGGTGGAAAAGCGGCACAGCATTATCTTTGGAGCGCGCCACAGCCGAGGAGCCCTCAAACTGGACCCGAAGGCAGGCAGCGCCCACGACTCCCGGCCGACCGCCGCTCGCTGCTGCTCCGCGCGGAGTTCCTGGACCGACGCTGGACCCTCCCCGGCGGAACCTCCAGCGCCGCCACTGGCGCGTTCACGCCCGCCAAGGGCGGGGGGGCCCCGCGCCGATCCCAGAAATCCGCGCGGACCTCCGAAAGCTTACGCCCGTGCCGCTTGTTTGCTCTTTTAGAGTGAAGGGGAACTGGGACACACAAATAAATACACACAAATAAAAATATCCCCCATATTTTCCCATATTTTCTGGGTTTTTGTCTTCCCCCCCACTTCCCATATTTTCCCATATTTTCTGGGAATCGCCGATTAATTGTGTCTGTGTGTTTTTTCCCCTCCTGATAGAGGCCTCCCAGATGGTTTCCGAATAGCCAGGTGTCGGGGGATCGCGCCGCATCGCCGATGCATCGGCGCCGGGCGGCGTGGAGAGCATCGGGCTCTACATCGAGCCGCATCGGCGAGGCATCGGCGATGCATCGGCGAGGCGGCGCGACTCCGACCCCTTCTGATCGGACCCTATCTGGGATCCTGGATCTAAGAGCTCCTGCGCCTCCGTCTTCGCGCCCGCGCCGAGGAGCGCGTCGGACTTGCTGCTGGGCTTCGCGGCCAGGTCCGCCCAGCGCGCCCCTGCTGCCGGCGTCGGGGCGGGGTCGGCGAGGTCTGGGGCCAGCTGCTGGGGGCCCGTGTTGTGGAGGCTGTCGTTCATCGAGAGTCGCACCTTGGGGGCAAACCCTGGAAGGTCTTTTCGGGCAATCTTTATATCCATATCCACTGCGTGTTGGAGTTTCGGGCCCCCCTTTCCCAGAAGTCAGAGGCGCAGTGGACATGATTAGAAATCTGGCCCCTGGAGGCTCGATTTCTATCCATACCCACTGCGCCTCGGCTTTTTGGCGCCCCTTTCCAGAAAGTCCAAGACGTAGTGGATACGGATACACATCTTGCCCGCAATCCTTGCACAACGATTAAGGGTGACTCAACTATTAAGCGGCCTCACAGCCGGACTAAGCCAAGACTTAAGCACACCATTGATCTGGAACGAGCGGGATGAGGCCAACATGTGACGGTGTCGGCAGGCAAATCTGCTAGCACCGATGTTGGATTTAACCTTCCAGGAGTTGCAACCGAGCGCACTATCCCACTCTTCAACATGAAAATCTGTTCGTTCGGCTCGCCGACCCGGAATATCTTGTCCCCCGGGGAGAGGAAGCTCGAGGAGAGCAACACCGTGAGCTCCTTCATGCACGGCTCGTGCACTCGTATCCACTGCAAGAAAGGGGCGTTGCGGATCAAGCCTCCGTATACTTGATATGATAGCTCTCGCTGAAGCAAGGGGGATAGGCAACTCTTGAGCTCCGCCTCATAGGCGTCGAAGCCCTCCCCCATCTCCCAGAGCCACACCAAGTGGGTCCGAATGGGGACTGCCACCGACTTCGGAAGCCGGCGCCAGCGAACGTACTGGGCCAGTTTCTGCCTGTTTGCGCTGAGGATGTGGGAGTCCCTGTTCCCAGAGCGTATCAGGTCGGTCAGCTCGCCCATCATGGAGGCGAAGACGACCGAGGCAAGGAGCAGCAGGAGCAAGACGAAACACACTTCGGTGAAATTCTGTGCGACGATGTCACCGTAGCCAACCGTGGTCATCGTTGTTAGGGTGAAGTACAACGAATAAACGTACGCCTGGTACGCATCGACATCCTGGTCGAGGTGCTTGTCCACCCAGCTGGGGCGGCCGTCGTCGATCGAGCCGATGAAGAACCACACGCACGCGGCCCAGTGAGTGACGCCTAAAAGGACGAAGAGCACCCTTAAGACGCCCATGATGAAACCAAGGCCTGGATTATCGGAGGAGGGCCCATTGAGATAACGGCGGCTCCCGCCTGTGGAGGAGGCGGAGGCGGAGGCGGAGGCGGAGGAGGAGGAGGAGGAAGAGGAGGAGGAGGGGGAGGAGGAGGAGGAGGAGGAGGAGGAGGAGGAGGAGGAGGAGCAGGAGGAGGAGGAACTAGCCCAGATCCGTTGAAAATCAATTCCCTGAACCCTTTCCGGGATCCACCCTGACCCGTTTTTCGGTGCGAACCTGGCCGTGGCGACGAGAAGCCTCCAGGAGGCCCACACAGGACGAGACACGCCAGAGAGGGCCGCCGCTGTCTCGACTGGCACCCCTTCCGAGATTGTTCTCCAAGAAGATGTCCAGGCGGTTCCCCAGCAAGTACGTGCGGCACAGGCGGAAGCAACGCGCTACCTGTGAGATGCGGAGCGTCCTCATGGACCTCAGCGCCTTGGTAGACTGCAGGTATGGCAAGTGCAGCGCGTCCGCCCAGTCCCACGGTATGGCGGCAACCGCGTCCACGTAGAACCAACACCTCACGTAGCGCCTCGCGATTCGGTCAGGGTCCATGACAACACATTTCGTCTCTTCGTCCTCGTAGCCGGTCCGGAACGTGACGATGACGTCGAGGATGTAATACACGTCCACGACCGAAGCGACCACGAACAGTTCGTTGCTGCTGCACGGGCCGAAGGACAGCTCGTAAGGCAGCATGAACACAATGTACGTCAAGAAGACAACGCCAACCAGATTCCACAGCAGCAGCCTCGGGTGCTCCGGGTGCAGGACCGGCAGCGCCAGCCAGCTCGAGCAGCCGAGCCTCTCCGTCGTCCTGTGGCGCCCTTCGGCCCTGTGCGACTTGAGCGGCCTCGAGGGAGCACGGCCGGCAGGGGGGACGGGCTCATGGTGGGAAGCGTTGGCGTGGAATCGGCGATGCATCGCCGATGCAGCAGGAGCCCGACCACCAGAAACCTTCCACAAGCAACCCCACCCCGAGACCCCAGGGCGCCCCTTGATTTTCGGTATGGGGGCGTCACGGCTTCCGTGGCAGAGCCGTGGGAACCCGAGGAACCCGGGACACCCTGGAGGCAAGCAGGGCGTTTCTTGGCATGGGTCTCCACTGTACACCCTGCGAAATGCTTAAGAAATCATGGGTTAAGAAATTCATAGTCTCAAAACTTGAATAAAAACCCAACATGTTTATTAAAATCTTAGGATTTACATTGAAACGTTAAGAATAATCGAGACTCTGGTCGAAAACTTGGGTTTTCTTAAGCATCGCCTAAGGTGTAGGGGGGAGGACTGGCTCGTGGGGGGGGGGGAAGCGTCGACCTGGAACCGGCGATGCGTCGCCGAGAGATCGGCGGGGGGGGGGCCCCTCCGTGGGGGCGCCTCCCTGCGGCGCGGCGGGGCACGCAGGCCTCGACTGGCGAGGACTGGGCGGCGGGGGGTCGAGGCGTGCCCCCCCCGCCTGGAGCCCCCTGGTGCTCGTGCCATGCAGTCGGCCCGCAGCATGTCCTCCTCCTCCTCCTCCTCCTCCTCCTCCTCCTCCCCCCTCTCCTCCTCCTCCTCCTCCCCCTCCCCCTCCCCCCCCTCCTCCTCCTCCTCCTCCTCCTCCTCCTCCTCCTGCCCTCGCCAACCGAACTCTATACACCGACGCCGGTTCCGGCCCTGCACCGAAATTCGCACAGGAAAGCGGATCCCGGTGTATACGGTGTATACGGGACCCTGGTGTATACATTTTTCGCTGGTTCCTGGGCAACGGAGCAACAAGTGTACACCACACCGCCCCGACGTCGTCCCCAACCCTTACAAAGTCCTGGGATTGAGAAGCAGCCCGCCACTGGCAATGTAGATGTCCCTGTTCGCGATCATGAGGATGCACGATGAGGGTGCAAGGGCCTTGGACGCCCACTTCGAAGCTTTGCGAGTGGGGCGCGGCGAGCGACAGCGGTCGAGGACGGGCCGAGGAGGCAAGGATGCGATGGGGCACCCTTGGGAAGGTTGCCCATCCTTACCATGCGGGTCGCCTGTAACTCGGGCCCCTGGTGGCCGTTCGGGACGACTCGGGCAGCCTCCGGAACGCTCTCGGCGAGGCGTAGCTCCTGGGGAGAGCACCCCGAGGCCCGAACACCGAGGGGATCCGACGAACACGCCCGAACACCTCTTGCCTCCAACCCGAAAATTATCCCCCGAACTAGAGGCCTCACAGATGGGGTCGGAGTAGATGGCGTCGGAGGATCGCGCCGTATTGGCGATGCATCGCCGATGCATCGCCAATGCACCGGCGATGCACCGTCGACGTCGCCGATGCATCGGTGACGTCGGCGTGGAGAGAAGCAGGCTCCCCGTCGAGTTGCATCCTCGATGCATCGGCGATGCGGCGCAATCCACGCAGCGTGCTGCTAGCACGGCCTCTGTGGGGCCTCCCAAGCAACTGGCTGCGGACCTGGGGAAGCGCTGCTGCAATCCCGCCAATCCTGCCCATCCCGCCACTTGCACCCCATCTGAGTCTGGGAGGCCCAGACCGAACGTCCGTCTCCCTTCCTGCCCCTGCCCCCGATCCTGCCCGTGGCGCACAGCGACGCCGCGGCCTGATCCGCGAAGCGCGGCCCTGGCGCCCCCGGCAGCTTCCGCGGCGAGGGCGGCTGCGGCGCTCGCGGCGCGCCGCCGTTGCCCGCGCCGCCGAAGGCGGCGGGCGAGCCGCCGTGCCGCTGGACCTTTAGGTGGCGGCATCCGAGCCCTATCCCCGCCAAGCACCGATTCTCCAGAATCGATGGGAGGGGAAGATGATGGTAAGGATGAGCCCCCTCATCCTCGATTGAACCCCAGCGATTCTCCTGAACCGATGGGGGTACAATCAAAAGTGGTAGTAAGGATGCGCGGTGAGGATGCGACACTCTTCGAGCGGGGCGCGGCCAACGGAAGTGGACAAGGATGGGCCGAAGGGAAAGGATGCAAGGGGAGACCTTGGAACGTCGTTCATCCTTACTATCAATGTTGCCTGTTCCCCCACCCACATTCGACCCTCCTGCATCGATGGGAGCCGGGGAGGTAGGGCTCCGATCTCGCCACGTGCTCGACGCACTCCGAACCCTACTCCTGCCGCCTTTCGGGCTGCGTGACTCGTTGACCGGCGAGGGCGATGTTCGGACTGCGCCGCCGAAGTCGGCGGGCCGTGTGGGGGCGATCCTGGAAGCCTCTTGGGCCGCCTCGGAGCGCCAGTAGGCCCCCAAGGCGAGAACGCCAAAAACCTTCCAAAACTATCAAGACAATCATCAATTCCTGCCTCTGTGAGGCCTCTCGGAGGCCCCTCGGGGCGTCTTGGAGGCGCTTCGGGCCGTCCGACGGCGGCTCTGCCCCTTGCCGGCCTCGGCGGCGTCGGCGGCGGGCGGCTTCGACGCCGCGGGACGGCCGCCGGGCCGCTCGACGGGCTCGGCTCGGCCGCCGAGGGCGGCCGCGGGCCCCTCGGCGAGGGCACCGAGGATCGCGGCGCGCACCGCGGCGAGGTCCGCCTCCGCGGAGGAGAGGCGGCCCAGGCAGGCGAGCAGCGCCTCCGCGCGGTCGCCTCTCGGGGGGGGGCGCGGGGGGGGGGGGGCGGAGCGCCCGTCTGGCGCCGAGCATCCTCCGCAGTCACCCCGCACAGGAAGGATGCGCGGTGCGTTCTTCGAACGGGCCCGACGAGAACGGCCCGACGAGAACGGCCCGACGAGAAGGCCGCGTGGACGCTCTTCGAGCGGGCCCGACGAGGACGGCAGGGTCGGGGCCCCTAGTCCACCCCCGAGCCTCCCATGCAGCACCTGCCCGCGCAGCCGGTCGCCGCCGCCGCCATGAGGCCGCGGCGAGCGCGCCCAGCCGAGAGCAGGGCCGCCGACGCGGGGGCCACCCGAGGCTGCTGAGCGGATGTGGTAAGGGGGGGGCGGCAAGGATGATGACAGCGATGTTGGCGAGGGCGTTGGTGATGGCGATGGCGATGCTGATGCTGATCATGATGCTGATGAGGATGATGATGATGATGATGATGATGATGATGATGATGATGATGATGCTGGTGGTGGTGATGATGATGCTGATGATGGTGAAGGTGAGGCTGATTACATTGCTGCTGATACTGCAAATGATGCTGCTGAGGCTGATGTTGGTGACGATGATGCAGATGATGATGCTGCTAAAGAAGATGATGATGGGGATGACGACGATGGTGATGACGATGGTGGTGATGATGGTGATGACGATGATGGTGATGATGCTGAGTCTGATGATGATGATGCTGGTGGTACTGATGATGCTGGTGCTGGTGATGATGACGATAATGATGGTGATCGTGATTGTGGTGGTGATGCTCCTGAATATGCCGATTGTTGTTATGGTCCATGTGGACGTGATGCTGATGCTGCTGATGCCTCTGACGGTGGCGACGATGCTGCTGCTGATTATGATGCCGATGAAGATGGCGGCGGTAAGGATGATGAAGCTGGTGACGACGCCGAGAAGGATGGTGATGGCGTCTACCATGAGGATGACGACGATGACGGTGATGATGGTGACGAAAACGATGACGATGACGATGCCGAAGATGATGATGATGATGATGATGATGATGATGATGATGATGATGATGATGATGATGATGATGCTGGTAATCAGGATGATGATAATAAGGATGGTGCTGATGATGATGAAGTTGATGATGACGAGGGAACATGGTGATGATCATGATGCTGATGCTTATGATGATGACGATGATGCTGATGATGGTGATAGTGGTGATGATGATGCTGATGATGATGATGATAATGATGATGACTATGCTGCTGCTGATGATGATGCTGCTGATGATGGTGATGATGCCGACGACGACGATGACGATGCTGCTGATGATCAGGATGATGATGACGCTGATGATGATAATGATAATGATGATTAGTATGATGATGATTAGTATGATGCTGATGGTGCTGACGGTGGTGATGACGATGACGATGACGATGCTGATGGTGCTGATGATGATGTTGCCGACGACGACGACGATGACGACGATGATGCTGATGATGCTGATGAGGATAAGGGTGATGCTGATGCTGATGCTGATGATGATAATGGAGAAGAAGAGTGAGAAAAAGAAGATGGCGATGCTTGCGACTGGGACTCGAGCAACGGCGCGCGACGCTCATCCGAGCATCCCTGCCGGCTGCCTTGGCCGCGGGCCTCTGAAGCACTCTCCGTGCACGGGGACTCCCAGCGCCGCCGAGAGAGAGAGAGAGAGAGAGAGGCTCGGCGAGAGCGGCGCGCAGGGTCAGAGGGCACGATGGCCGGGCCCAGGCTCGGCGGAGGTCAGCTCGACGTCGGAGAAGGAACGATCGCCGTGCGCTCGGCACCGGGGGCCGGCAGGGGCGAAGGCCCTGATGAGACGCTCGGTTTCGGGGGGGCCTCGCTGGGGCCCACCTGGCGGATCTGCCCGACGGCAGATGGAATCCAGTTCGACACGACTGTGGCTCTCGCTCGCTTGACGTGAAGCCCTTCCTTCTGCCCCCCCTCTCGTGAATTCAAGCTGTGCGCGGCCCGTTCAGCTTCGACCGCTCGCTCGCCCCAAGGTCGAGCCTGAAGTCGACGGACGTTCGACGCAGCATCGACGCATGGGTGGAGCGAGTGGCACCAGGAAGGCCTCCCGAACGATCATCCAACTCTGGGATGGCAGGCGATCGCCTTGAGCGGGCCAGTGCCGCGCAAGATCCTGTCGGCAGAAAAAAAAACCGGCACACACAGACACCAAGCGCGCAGGCAATCACTCTCGACGTCGGTGCTGTTCGCAGTGTCGAAGGCGGGGGGAAACAGGGGTTTTGGGGGACCCTCAAGGGGATCTGGCAGAAGTCGACGCGCTCCCGTGAGACGCCGACCGCAGCATTTCCACTTGACTTACAGTCGGGGCGTTGACCTAAGGAACCCTAAATAAGGAACGAGGCCCCTGTTTCCCATAAGCTCAGCCTCGATTTCCCATGGAAGGCCTCAGGAAAACCCGAGGCAAACTGCGAAACATTCGAAGAGCACCGAGCCCCTCCCCGACGAAAAGGGCTCCTTCTTCAGCGCCCCGACTGTGAGTCGGGCGAGAGGTCGGACGGCGCCACAGGGGAGCCTCCGGAGGGCCGCGCGGACTTCTCTTGGGTCGGCGCCGGAGCCCCCCATCGCTGTCATCGGTGGAGCGCGCCCAGGGGGCGACAGCGGAGGCTCCGCCAGGGGGCTCCAGGAATGATCGCGGACACCCAACTACTTCTATTAATGCGGGATGACGATTAACAAGAAAATTGGAGAGAACGATGAAAAGATAGTTTTCTGCTATTTCTGCATAATTTTCTGACTGGGGGAGAACGAATAAAAAGAATAGTTTTCCAGCCCGCGGCCGGTTTTTTCTAATCGTCATCCCGGGCGCCGCCGCGCGAACACGACCCCCGGTCATTTATTAACCGTCATCCTTCATTATTGTTGTTGCTGTCCTTCGGGTCAGGCTGCCTTCTCCGCGCGGGCACTTGCACCAACGCGAGCGGCTCAAACGCGTTCGTTCAAGAGCTATGCGAATCTATGTGCGCGTACGTCTTCGTTTCGCTCCTGAAGGCCCTGAAGCCTCCCAAGCGAGTCTAGAGCAGACGGGATTGGAAGACTGCACCGCGTCGCCGATGGACACCAGCGTCGTGGGGATGGAGAACATCGAACTCCAGATCGCGCCAAATGGCCCTTGCATCGGCGATGCGGCGCGATCCTCCGATCCCACTCGCTCGGCAACTGAACGAGAGAGCATGCGGTCTTGCACTCTCTGCTGCGTCTCGTCCCAAGCCCCCTGGCTCAGACTTGCTGGAGTTGACGACCAGAGGAGCCGAAAACCGGCACCAATGTGAACTCTCGGAGATCCGCGCGGATTTCTCGGACCGGCGACGGAAAAAAGGCACCATGCCCAACAACGAATGCTGTCCCAAAACAACAGCGGCCGCTATGGGGCAGGAGGCCTTCTGCCTCAAATGGGCAAAGGCCGCGGCGACGCGGACAGCGAATCCTATCCCAAATGGACAGAAATCGCTGTTGGTCTTCGTGCCCATATTCTCCGTACCCATGTCTCGGGTCGGGCGAAAGGGGGGGATAGCAAGGGGGGGGGTGAGAATCAGCTCGCGTAGCTGATTTTCCCGGCGGCGCCGGAGGCGGCTATGTGTCGAGGAATGGGCTCCTCGGTGGGGCCGAAACCAGCTGCGTGCATCAGACTTCGTACCCCCCCCTTTCCCAATCCCCCCTAGATCGTCCGGCCCGAGCCGAGACACCACGACGCCGACGCCGCCGCCGTGGCCGGCGGGCGGCGAGGGGCGGGGCCGAGGAGGGAGGAGGGCCGTCGCCTCCCGCCCTCGCCGGCGGCGGCGACGGCCCGACGCCGACGCCGCCGAGGGGCCAGGCGGGCAGCGAGGCGCCGCCTCGCCCAGGACGAAAGCAGGATCGAGGCAGCGTCGGACCGATGGACATCGGACAACTCTGAGAACCGGCGGGTCTGGGGAGGATGTCTCGGGCGCCGCGGCCGTTCCAGGGCGTGCCGGAACGCTCCGAGAGCGTTCTGGAACGCCCTGGAACGGATTTACCTCCTGTCGGCGGTGGACAGACCTCCCTTTAGTAAACCTCCCCTTCGTGAACACGGCCTGGGACCGAAACCGACGGCCCTGGGCCCGCAAAAATGACGGCCGCGACGTCCTCTCGCGAACCGAAAACGGCCAATTCCTTAATCGACGTGTCAGGGTAGGAGGTCTGTCCACCCCCGATCCTTTCTAGGCCCGTCCGGTCGTCTCCCGCCCTCCCCGACGACTGTGCCCCTCGCCGACACCTCCGCCCTCGGCTACACGCAAGAGTGACCCTGGGTAGCACTGGCCCTTGGAGTGCGACTCTTGGGGGGGGGGGGCGCGAGGGGGCCAACGCCAAGCGCACACTCGGCGATTGGGGAGGCCCAGTGGGCCCGCACCAAACGCCACTCCGGCGAAGGGTCACTCTTACGTGAAGTTGGGCGTGTCCCCCTACAGGGGGATTTTCGACGAAGAATTAAACATACTCCACAAATGCCCCAAACGGGCCAAAGAAATGCTAAACAAATCGTCCCCGGACTACTTTTTGCTTCTCTTTGGATATTCCTCCTGTAGAGGGACAGGCCCGACTTAATCTGACGTGCAGTCGACGCCCTCCCTCGACCGCGGCCACGTCGCCGACGGCGCCGACGGCGCCGCCGGCGCTGCCGACGGCGACGGCCATGGGGCCACGAGGTGCGAGGCCGCGGGCCCAGCGCCCCGCGCATGTGCACGGCGCACGCCCCTCCCCGAGGTCCGACGTCGGGGGCAAGACTGCAGCAAGACGAAGTCAGGATTGGGTCGGGCGTGTCCCCCTACGGGGGGTTTGGGCGAAAAATAAAAAAATGCGCAAACAAATGCCCCCAAAATGGCCAAAATCCTCCCCAGACTATTTTTTGATTTTTCCTCCTGTAGAGGGACAGGCCCGACTTAAAGCCAGGACGAAGCTGCATTCGTGAGCGGATACCTCGAGAATCTCTGAGATCCGGCGGATCTGGAAGGTGTATCGGGCAACGCGACGTCTTCGGAGCGAGAGTGTCCTGGAACGCTTGGGAACGAAATTATCCTTAGGTCGGGCATGTCCTCCTACAGGCGAATTTCGGGAGGAAAAAACAAATAGTGAAACATATTCAAACATATTTGAAACTGGTAAAATCGTCCCCAGACGATTTCTTTGACTATTTTTGAATTTTCCTCCTGAAGAGGGACATGCCCGACTTAAATATACCCTCGTCCTAATTAGCCCCGCCCACTGCAGCACAGCGAGGAATCACGACAGGGGAGACCTGGACCCCATCTTCCCGGGGCAATTCCCGAGCCAGATCGATCCGTGATCAAGTAGGGACTCGACCATAAGAAACCTTCCACAAGAAACCAGACCCTGAGACTCCAGGACGTCCATTGAGTTTTGGTGTGGGAATGCCACGCTCCCCATAGCAAAACCATTCAAACCCAAGAAGCTCGGGGCACCCTGGAGGCAAGCAGGGCGTTTCTTGGCATGGGTCTCCACTGTAGCGTCCCGGGGCCCGGCAGCGGGCGAAGACGCCCAGCGTCACAAGAGCTGCAGGCCCAGATCTCAGGGCTCCCCCAAGGTCGAGCCCAGCGGGCACCGCCCTCCTCCCCAGACCCCTGACGTCATGCTTTTTGGCATGACGCCGAGCCCCAGGACCAGTTTTTCAGTCCGAGTCGTGTTTGGACGGTCCCGAGGCCTGGTAAGGACACCGCTGGCCGGCCGAAAAGCCTCCCGCCGCGATTCTTCATGACCCGAGGGGGTCTCTGGGCCGACGGCGACCACGACGCCGACAGCGACGGCGATGCCTCCGACGGCGGCGACGCGGCCAAGCTGGCAGGTCTGCGCTGGATCGGATCGCGAAATCGGATGTGATCGAGAGCGGATCGAATCGCCAGCGAATCGTCCCGAATCGGATCGGCATCGAATCGCCGCGCCCCGCTTCCGGCTGGCCCTGGCCGATGCCGGTGAATACCTAGAGCTGGATCGCATCGACTTGGAATCGCGGCCCCAGCCGACGAATCGGATCGCATCGAATCGGATCGTAGGCGGCCCTGGCTGGCTGCGGTCGAGGGCCTCGTGCCCGGCGCCCAGGGGCAGCAGGCCGGCACGGCCCTCGAGGGTGGTGTCCTCCTCGAGGCAATGCGCGCCCTGGGGCGGCGCGGGGAAGAGCAGGCTCCGGGGCTCCCTGGCTGCGTACCGTCTCGTCGTGCAGAGAATTGGGCGCCGTCGTCGTCGAAATCGTTGCCGTCTCCGTGCGCCCGTGCCGGCGTGAACGTGCACGGGCAGCCCATACGGGGGTGGCCCCCGCACGACAGCTGGGGTTGGAGTGCCATGTGGGACCTGCTCTAGGACAGGAACATAACGTAGGCACATCTACCCTTTCTCCGACCTGGCACCGCGCCGAACGCAACGGCCACGTCGTCCATAGACGTATCCACCCCGAAAATGTCCATGGACGTCACGGCACCCAATGTGTCCATAGACGCGTTTGGTTAGTACGTGAGAGCAGTACTTGGCATCGGCCCCAGACGTTGGTCTTTTAGAAACAGGTAGGCTTGGCCCTCCAAAGCCGGGCGTCTTGTAATCTGACGTGGTCGCACAAGGGTTGACCGCGCCCATCGTCTTGGTGAAACGAGCTCCTCTTGCATGGCCGTGGGTCGGCGGCGAGCCTGGGGGGAAGTGAAAACGGGCGGGCCTTTTCAGAAGGCTCGAGAGGCTTCGGGCCGTCCGAAAAAAATCCCCAGCCTTACCCGAAGACACATATCATGTCTCAGAAGGCTGAAGGTCCCCGCCCCCCGTCTCCCTCGCCGCCGACACGCGCGACGGCAGGTTTGTGGCACCTTCCGGACTCTGGGGGCCTGCGCGAGGCCCCGGGACCGCCCAAACACGACCTGGGACGAAAAAGCAATCCTGGGGAACGGGTCCAGACCCCTCGGGGAACGGGCCCCAACCAGTCCTGGGGCACGGGGAACGACGCAGGGCGTCCGAGCCACACTTCTGGATGGATCGCCCAACCTTCACGAGCGGCCGGGCGCGCCCGCGCCAGCGCCGACGCCCTTAGGCGGGGGCCGAGGCCGCGGCGGTGGCCGTGGCCTGTGGCCGGGCGGCGGCGGGGGCCGCGGCGGCCGACGCCGAGGCCGCGACGGCGGCCGAGGCCGGCGACCACATTGGCGGGGTCCGGAAAACCTTCACTAACAAATGTCGCCATCTTATTCCTCCTCCTCCTCCTCCTCCTCCTCCTCCTCCTCCTCACCCTCCTCCTCCTCCTCCTCCTCCTCCTCCTCCTCCTCCTCCTCCTCCTCCTCCTCCTCCTCCTACGCATCCTCACCATCGTCATGCTCATCAGCACCATCATCCGCCGGCTCCCGCCGGCTCCCGCCGGCAGAACCGACCCTGTTTTGTTTCCTTCGGCCTTCCGCCGAGGAAGAGATGCAAACGGCGATTTCTGGAGTGCCCCCCACATGGGAACTTCACGCGTCCCCGCCGCGCCTAAGACAGCCAGCCTCCTGGAGCCCGTGAACGCAGGTTCCGAAGGGCGACCTGCCCTGCAAAAATCGCCTGGCCCCCCACCCCGTGCGTGTGTGTATACACTAGAACCACGCGCGCGCTTCGCGCGCGCTGAGGTTTTAGTCGCGGCTGCGCCACGTTTTGCTGCTCTCGTTCTCGCTCGTGTGATCATCGACGACGACGACGACACGGGCGGCGACGAGTGACGACGAAAGCGACGAATGACGACGACGACGATCACGACGACGAGCTGCCCCTGCCGCTAGCACCGGTTGAGCTGCGGCATCCCCGCGGACGCGATGACCACCGCAGGCACGGCGGCGCAGTGCAGGCCAGTGTTGCGACGCGCCGTCTGCACTGGTCCCGCAGCCTGCGCCTTCCCATCCAGCGGGCTTGCCAAGACGCTCTCGAAAATCGGCGTCGCAAAAGCCCACTTGGGCAACAGCTCGCCAGCCAGCGCCTCGAACGGCGCTGCGATTGTGCACTGCGACGCGGCCAACCACACGGCCTGGGCCGCAGCGCAAACTGATCCTCCAACGACTTGACGATGCCCTACAACTCCTCGACGCGGCGGATGGCGGCAGCCAGCCTCCCGTCAGCTGCTTGCCGCGCAGGGGCCCGCCGTGAGCGCCACGCAGGCCATAGAAACCCAGGCCGCGGCCACTTGCTGCTCCGCCGCCTCTAAAGCAGCCGTGCAGCCCGCCGCCGCCATCTGCGCCTCGGGCGCACACCCTCGCGCGCGCGCGCCCGCGCGGCCAGGAAACAGCTCTTGAGCTAAAATGGCTACGCAGGAGGAATTAGGACGAGTTGGGGGAGGAGGAGGAGGAGGAGGAGGAGGAGGAGGAGGAGGGTCAAGCCGCGGCGGAGGGGCGCAGGGGCTTGATACCGAAACCTCCACACCAGCACACCAGATTGCAGGGGCAATTTGTTTCCTCTCCCTCCCCCTCACCCTCTCTGACCCCGGAGGTGCGGCATCCCAGGAACGTGCTTGCGGCCTGCGGGCCGCCAGATGTCTCGCCGGTTTGTGCTCGATGTTCAACCCAAAAGGCGCAAGACTGCAGGGTGCCAAAGCTGCCGCGAGCCGTTCGACGTTGGCGAGTTACGGTGCTGCCCACTGGCGAAGGCCCACCGTGGTGGCGGTGCATTCCTTCACCTTGATTGCGTACATGGCGGTATCCATGCAGGCGACATCGTGACGAAGTACGCCGACGGTGTCACGGAAGCGCAGCTCCAGGACGTCGTCAGCCGTGGCGCCACCGTTTCTCTCGACGCCGAAGTGCAGGCGGCCGCCCCGCAGACCGATCCCCCCGAACTGTTGGACCGTGGGCCCTTCGAAGAGAACATCCTGCGCAACTTAGATTGGTGGGACTCCGTGGATGTCGAGCAGGCCTTGCTGTGCACAGTGCGGACTTGGGAGGGCGCCCATCCTTCCCTCGACCATTCACTCGAGGAGGCCAAGGGTGCTGTCCTCAAATGTGCCGCTGAAGCTGGGCCGGACCGAGAGCGGGGCTGGCGCCTTCTGATGCTCTTCGACCGCCTCCTGTACGCCCGTATGCCGGCCAAATTGCGACCCCAAGATGTCACCGCGACGCAGTGGCGCAAACGAGTAGTCGTGGACCGTTTACGGCTCTTCTGGCGGGGCGACTGGAAGGCTTTATGGGACGAGGTGCACATCACCTGCAGGGCGAACTTCAGCGATGAGCCCCCCGAGGACGACGACTTGAAGCGCCTGGTCGCCCGCATCGAGGCACTCGGCGCGGCCAACGAGTGGAGCAAGGCGTACAAGGCTGCTGTTGGCTCCGCCCTCCTCGTCACAGACCCGAACGAGCTGGACAACGTCAAGGGGAAGTTCCCTCCCGAGCAGGTGCGCCGGCCCGAGCCCAAAGTCGGAAACGTCGATGAGCACAAGGACTTCTGGGAGGCGGTTGGCCGGCAGGTGCAACGGGACTGCAAACGGTTGCCCCGCAAGGCAGGTCCTTCCCTTGATGGCAGCCGCTTCGAGCATTGGGCATCCTCTTCGGCGGACTCCGACTACGCGAAGCACCTCGCCATCGCGGCCGTCCAGTTCGCCAGCGGACAGGCGCCGGATTTCGTGTACCGATGCGCACGAGCTGGGCGCTTGCTCATCCTCCGCAAGAGCGACGGCGGCATTCGCCCCTTGGTCATCACCGCCGCGCTCCGGCGCATTGCACTCCGAGCGGTGATCAAGGTGTTGACCCCCCGTGCCACAGCGCATGTGGGGGAGGAGCAATACGCCATTGGCAGGTCGGGCCCTGTCGAGTCGATCACCCACGGCATCCAAGCAGACGTGCTCCAGGACAGCGAACGAGTTGCAGCTTCCCTTGACATCAAAAATGCTTTCGGCTCCATGAGCCGTGGTGTCATGGCCGACGATGTCGTCACTGCTTTCCCGGAGCTGGCGAACCTCGTGTCCACCTTGTACTGCACGGACACGCCCTTGATGTGGGAGGATGGCGACGGGGAGGTTCAGACCATCACCGAGCAGACCGGCATGGACCAGGGGTGCCCTTTCTCGCTGCTCGCCTTCGTGGTCGGCCTCAAGCGGGTCCTCAACCGAGCACGCGCCCTCCTACGTGACGCTGGCCTCGACGGTGGCGTCCGCTTCCGGGCTTACGTCGACGACATATATGTCACATGCGCCGCTTCACGTCTCCCCGCGGTCCTCGCAGCCTTTCGCCAGGCCTTGGCCGAGTCCGGCATGACGCTCAACGAGTCCAAGCTGAAGCTGTGGGGCGTCGAGCGCAACATTCTGCCGATGGACCTCCAGCAGTACCACGTGGAGACGCTCCAGGTCTTGGGGCACGCTGTCGAGCGATCCGGCGGGCAGATGCACACGTTGTGGCTTGGGGACTCTGGCGGGTCCTTCGCTTCGGTCACGGCCGCCCTCAGAGTCAACCTCGACAGGCTGTGGACCTTGCACGCGGAAGGCGGGCTCCCCAAGCAGGTAACGCAGGCACTGGCGCGCTTGGCCGCGCAGTCAAAGCCACAGCACGTCCTGCGCGGCGCCGCCATCTCTGCTGAGCAAGCCAGGGCCTACGACGCCGTGGTCGAACACTTCTGGGCTCGACTGCTCGGCGAAACCGGCAGTTTCGACGCCCACCGCAGGGTGCAGCTGCACCTGCCATTGCGTCACGGCGGCCTCAGCGTTGGCGGGGTGGAGGTGCGTGCCGATGCTGCCTTCCTTGCCGGCACTCTCGGGGCCTTGAGCGAGGTGATGAGCACGGTTGGGGTTGACACCGTCGCGGAGCTCCGGCACGCGCTCCCGCGGCACGTGGAGGGCATGAACCTCGCGGTGACCAGCCTGGAGCAGAAAGGGGCGCGGGAGCAGACACGCCTGTGGCAAAGCGACCAGCCGCAGCCCGTCAAGGGCATGCAGCGAGTCTGGACTCGAGCAGTCCAGCGCAACCTGCACGATCAGCTCCTGGGGTCGGCTACGCAGCGCCATGCAGCGGCTATCAGATCCGCCTCCACTCCGGAGGCCAGCCGCTTCTTGGACCCGCCGGGGGCCGCCTCCGACAAGATGACGGACGCGACCTTTCAGGCAGCTGCCCGCCGCCGCTTGGGCCTGCGACCCGTGCCGCGTGGACCACACGACGCTACCCACTGCCAGAACCGGCGGCCTGATGGGACTAAGTGCGGCGTGGAGCTGGACGACGAGGGCCACCACGCCAGCATCTGTGAGATCGGTGGTGCGCTCGTGCGCCGGCACGATGGCAGCCGTGACCTCGTTGCCGCCCGGCTTGTCGCTGACTTGCACGCACCAGTTCGCACAGAGCAGCGGTGCCCCCACCTTGACAAGCTCAAGCCGGACGGCACGATGTCCGAGGCACGCTTAGACATCGTTGTCGAGCTGGAGGGCACAACGTCCTTCCTCGACGTCGCCATCGTCGACGTGTTGAGCACGGATTCGGCACTGGAACGGCAGCGTGCGTCTCGAGACGGCGCCGCTGCATGCCGCATGGAGGACGAGAAGCGGACGAAGTACCCCGGCGCCAACGTCGTGCCCCTCGTGATTGAGAGCTACGGGCGAATCAACGTGAGCGGCATGGCATGGTTGCGCCGGGCGTACCGGGACAAGCCAGAGCTCTTCCAGAGCTTGCTCCGCGCTTTGAGCGTCCACGTGCAAAGCCACACGGGCGCCATGATCATAGCGGCCAGCACTGGCCAGCACGGCGCGCCCCGGCAGCGGGCCGACCAGGCGTAGGCCGACACGCCACGCTGGTCCACCTCCCGCGCGGCCCCGGCACCAGCAGGGACCCCAAGACAGGGGGTCGGGCTGAGCTGCCCGCGCACGGCTTCCCCCTGGGGGGCACACGCCCTGGGGTGGTAGGGTACTGCCCCTTTTCCCTCTCCCCTCCCCTCTCTTCTCTGTGTCTCTCCTTTCCTCCTCCTGCCCTCGCCCTCCCCTCTCTCCCCCTCCCCCTCCCCCGTCTCTGGGGGCAGTCCCTTGCTTTCCCACGGGTTTGCGCCCCCCCCGCGGGGGTGGCGTCTGCGGCAGCGGCCCCTGCAGTCCTGTGGCGGACTCTCGGCCGACACGCCTAACCCCGGTGGCCATGCGTCCCAAAGTGGGACACATGCCGGGGTTGCGGATCCAGCTGGAGGAGGAGGAGGAGGAGGAGGAGGAGGAGGAGGAGGAGGAGGAGGAGGAGGAGAATGAGGGGGATGAGGAGGAGGAGGAGCAGAAGGAGGAGGAGGAGGAGGGAGGAGGAGGAGGAGGAGGTGGACGAGGTGGAGGAGGAGGATGAGGAGGAGGAGGAGGAGCAGCAGGAGGAGGAGGAGGAGAAGGAGGCGGAGAGGACGAGCATGAGGAGGAGGAGGCGGAGGAGGAGGAGCAGGAGGAGGAAGCGGACTCCAAGGAAAGGCTCTTTCTTCCGCGCGACAGGCTCGCGCGCGGAGGGCTCGCGGGCCTCCGCAGCACTCCGGACCGCCTCGGGGCAGGGTGCCACCAGCATGCGGTCGAGGATCGAGTCGCCTGGCGGTTGGGGCGCGCCCTCCGCCCGGCTCAGGGCAACAATGCCTGCAGGGAGAGAAAACACAGCACACAATCAAACCTATAGGGAGAAGGGATGGAGAAGAGCACGGAGATGAAGTCGCTACATGTATGGGTGTAGTCGGACCCCCAGGGGGGCTCCTGTTCGAGCGGGGACCCCCATCTGGCAACACACCAGTAGCCCTCCGCGGAATTCCACCCCGAGAAATGTAGGGGTCGCATAGACATGGGTGCTACGTAGTTGCCAACTCATGATGTAGAGGAAGAGAGCAGTGGCAGAAACGCAATTCGTCGGAGGTCCGCGCGGGTTCCTTGGATCGGCGCTGACCCCCCCCGCGCGCGGAGTACGCAAGATGTCGGCGCGGAGCTCCGGAAATCATGTTTGTGCCGTCTTCCGCCCCACGCGCCTTTGGCGAGCAGCAGCCGGTGGCCCAGGGTCTCCACGCCTAGGGCGTTGCTGAATGAGGGGGGCGATAAATGTGTGTGGGAGCGAAGTAGCGAGCACCTTTCGTGCCACTTTGGGGCCCCAGAGGGCCCCTTCAGGGACCCTTGAGGTGCACGAGAGGTGCACAGTTCTTCACCCTCACGTATCGCCCCCCCCGTTGCGCAACGCCCGAGCGCCCAGGGCCAGCCACAGCGACGGGTCGATGCGCCCCACGATGCCGCTGCCGACCGGCGTAGGGAGCACGGCGGCAGACAGCGAGGGCAGGTCGTCGAACTCCGCGCTCAGGGCTGGCAGGTACGGGCTCAGGGCACCGCGGCCTCCGTCCAGGCCGACGAGCCAGGCCTCCAGCTCGGGGTCGCTCGCCTGCTGCCGATCGGCGCGGGCGCGAGCCGAGTGAGCATACGCAGCATGCGTGCGACGCGGCGGGTGCCACGTCCTCTGGGCAAAATCCTCCTCCTCCTCCTCCTCCTCCTCCTCCTCCTCCTCCTCCTCCTCCTCCTCCTCCTCCTCCTCCTCCTCCTCCTCCTCCTCCTCCTCCTCCTACTCGTTCCCTTCCTCCTCCCTCCCTCCTCCCTCCCAAGAGGGCGCAAGCAGGCGGAGCAACCTTCAGACACTCTGAGCGTCTCCCAGATCCTGCACAGCTTGCCCCTCCTCCTCCTCCGGAGGAGGCGGGCGGAGAGGGGAGGGGGGGGGCGAGGAGGAGGGGGGAGCGACGAGGATGAGGATGCGGGCAAAGGCGAGGAAGATGAGGAGGAGGAGGAGGAGGAGGAGAAGAGTACCGTAACAAATCCAAGATGCATCACCGCTGCTACAATACAGCTTTCCGCCAGAAGTCTCCTTCTCCAGGAGTGCCTACAGTATATAGATTTGACTGGACATGGCGCGCACACTTGAACGACGAGCGCCTCGTGGGTCTGCCAAACAGGCAAAAGCTCCGTTTTGAACAGGAACTGTGCTGTATCCTGCTAGCCACGAGGGTTGTGAAAATGCAACATCGCAACATTCGAAGACATGTGCAACGATAGCCCCGTGTGAAGAAGAAACGCCGCCGTCCTTCCATGCAAATGCTGCTCAATATAGCAGAAATTAAGAAGTCGCGAATCAAGAGCCCTATCTTGAAAATGAGTGACTTTCCATCCACGTAGCTGCTGTATGACGCTAACAGTTTGAAACACGCACATCCCAAGAGAGAGTCACCTCAAGGCCCCGCCGTATGTCCCGAGATCGCTCAAGCGGGCGAATTGTATACAATCGACAAGCCCCCCACAGAATCCCCCCAGGCCGCAACAAACCCAAAACTCTCCAACAATTGTGAAACACCCCAGGGGCTGCATGACTTGCGCGCTGCCGCCTTCTCGGTCTTACTCATTACGAGCGTCCCCAACATCACAAGAAGCCCCCAATATCCCTGCACAGCGGCCACCGAGTCCCTAGAAGGAGCTCAGCATGCCTCCCCCACGACAATTCGAGATGCCTCCAACACCGCACTGGTTCCCGAGCAAGGCAGGTGGAATATCAGGCCGCAAGCCACCAGCAGTGGTTGGGAATTTCTAAGATGAACCTGCGGAACGCTATGGCGAGAACTACACTTTCAACACGTGCCGTCTCCCATCCGTGCACCTGCTGAACATGTCAAGCTTCAGGGCCATAGAAGGTGCGAGAATCTCATGCGAAACGCCCGGCCTTGTGGTGCAATACGGAGCCACTTACGTATCGAGTACATGGATGGGGGCGGATGATGAGGAGGACAGAAGGAGGAGGAGGAGGAGGAGGAGGAGGAGGAGGAGGAGGAGGAGGAGGAGGAGGAGGAGGAGGAGGAAGAGAAGGAAGAAGAGGAATAAGAGGAAAAGAAGAGAAAAGGGAAGGGGAGGTGAGATCAAAGAGGGCGGGGGAGCGGATGCGGGAAGCGACAGGGGGGAGAAGGTCGATTGTGCATGGGGGGGAGGGGGGGAACGGGAGGAAGAGATGAGCGAAAGACGGGGTCCAGAGGTGGAAGGTGGCGGAGCGGGAGGTGCGAAGGGGGCGGGGGGTGGGTGAGGCGAAGCCGCGCGTTGGGGGGGGGGGCGGGTGGAGGGGGGGGGGGATACGGGGACATGGGAGGAAAGGGGGGGGGGTCTGAAGGAGGAGATAGGGGAGGAACAGCTGGACGTGGGGCGGAGCACAGCGCCTCGACCCCCGCCGACGTCTGCGTGAGCGCGGCGGGCGGCCCAGACCCGCGCGCGCCGCCCTGAGCGACCGGCGCGCCCGCGGGCGGAGCCGCGGGACGTCTGGGCCCCGACGCGCGCGGTCGCATCTGCGGCGAACCCGACGCTGGGCGCAGCCGCTTGGCCGCTGGCGGGCCCGCCAGTGCATGCCGCCCCTCGTTGGGTCAAGCGATAGAAGTCTCCCACATGAGGTCAGAGTTGTTGGATTGGCTACCTGCCAGGCCCCCCCCACCCAACTCGAAAACCCACGTCTCGTGTTGGGGGGGTACGGGTTCCATATGTGTTTCTTAATTGTCCCCGATGCCCACCCCCCCACTGGAAAGGGAGGGCCAATTGGGGCCTTCAAGTCGGGTTGGGGTGGCTTGGTGGGTGGTGATAGATGGGGTCGGAGGATCGCGCTGAATCGCCGATGTATCGCCGATGCATCGGCCAAGTCGGCGCTGCAACATCGAGCGGCGTCGACGATGCATCGACGACGCGGCGCGATCCTCTGACCCGATCTGCAGAGATGCCAATACAGTGAACACATACGATGAGAAAGCTTGCTCGGAGAAATCTAGGGCCACATTTATCGTTCAGATCTGAGCTCCCTGAGGTGGGGCCACTGGTCGACTACTCCTAGGAGTGACCGTAGGCTAGAATGACCTTTGGTGCGCGGCTTAAGGGGCGCCCGTGGGGGCCCAACGCAACCGTGCAAGCCATCGCTGCCGCGCCGCATCAAAGATCGGCGGGGCGCCACCCGAAAGATCTGTTGAGCCAGTGGGCAATCGCGGAATTCCGCCAATTGGATTCGAAGGCCCCGGGAGGCACTTCGAAGGCGCTGCGAAAGCAGACGGTGCCGGGGACAACCACGATGAGGTCAGGTATTGCTGGGCCGCATCGCGATGACGTCTGACCATGTTCGGCGTCATGGCCAAAACCGGCCTCATCCGCGTGCCTGGAATATGTTTGCATAGCATTGGACAACTTGCAAGAATACAGATTTCTAATCGTTCGAAAAAATTTATGAAAACATTTGCAAGAGTATTCAAATATATTCAAATCGATTCACACATATCTATATATACACACGTACGGAGATGCAAACATATATAGATATATACATGCATATATCCATCCATCCATACATATATACATACATACAAACCTACAGACCGACAGACAGACAGACAGACAGACAGACAGACAGACAGACAGACAGACAGACAGACAGACAGACAGACAAACAGACATATACACATATGAGCTTGGGACGGAGAATGCGCCGTCCAGTCGACCAGCCCCCCCTCGAGAAACCACTGCACACTGCAGGGTGCGACGCGTATTATGCGTTGCTGTCGATTGCAAGGGATGGGGCCCAAACCTGGCGCGGTCAGATGCGAGCGCAATCACGCGATACGAGTGCCGACGCGAAGTCAAGCTCACACCGAAAGAAAAAAAGCGACCCCCTTGGGCCAGCACCGAAGGTCACTCTAGCGAAGGGCCACTCCTATGTGTTGTCGAGAGGGGGCCATCGGGGGACAGGCTATTTCTGTGGGGCACCTGCTGGCATGCCGCACTCTTGCTTGCTGCTTGACGTGCCCCCTGTGCCGCTGCTCCACGGGTCTCTCTCCTGGGGCGCGTCCTGGCCAGGATCTCGAGGCGACTCTGGCCGCGGTGAGGTATCTAGTGCATCGGTCAAGGCTGAACCTACACGGTGTTTCTCGATTTCGTTTTGTTTCCGTTTTCCTTCGCTTTTGTCTCGAATCCGCCTTCAACGCAAAACGAAATCGAAACGAAAACGGCCCAAGAAATCACAAAACACACCGCTTAGGTCCAGCCCTGGCATTGGTGCCTCTCCCCATGGCATCGGCGCCTCCTCCTCCTCTGGCTCCTCGCGCTCGGCCTGCCGCGGCTCGGCCTTCACCCTCGCGAGGGCCCGCTCGCCGGGCGCGGGGCGCGCCCGCGGGGCCGCAGGCGGGCCCGCCGCGGCCCGCTGCTCCTTCTCAGAGAGCAGGCCCCTTCAGTAAAACGTGGTCCAACACCCACAGCGGCCACTGCTGGGCAGGCGACCCCGTGCCTCAAATGGACAACCACCACGGCGACGCCGACAGCGAGCCCTGCTCAAACTGAACAGGAAATGATGTCGGTCGTTGTGTCCATGTTTTCCGTGCCCATTTCGATCATCCCGACTCTGCTCAAGGGCGATCTTATCACAACGTTGACCCCCAGAGGATGGAGAGAACCCCTTTAGTAAAACGTGGCTTAGTGAAAACGACCTCGGGCCCAAACCTGGCGGGCGCAAGCCTGGAAAGTGACGGCCGCGGCGCCCTCTCGAGAACCGAGAACGGACATTTCACCAATCGACGTGTCAGGGTGGGGGTTCTGTCCACCCCCGATTGATTTTTGAGACTCGGCTACACGCAAGAGCGACCATGGGCAAGAGTGGCCTTTGGTGCGCGGCTTCTGGGGGGGCGCGGGGGGACCAAACGCATGCACGCAAGGCGCAACTATCGCATCGCGCTCGGCGATCGGGGGGCCCCGATGGGCCCGTACCAGAGGTCACTAAAGGCGAAGGGTCACTTTTAGGACTAGGCGAGAGACGCGGGGTCACCCGAAGTTTCTCCTTTTCCTCGGGGCCGGGGTGTTCCCGTCCTGCGTCGATGCCTGACGGTCGCCGAGGCTTGGCGAAGGGCCCCATAGTAGACCGACAGTTGTAACCCCCCCCCCGCCTTGATCTTCTCAATGTTTCTGATGACTGCTCCCCCCTCGTCTAACGAAGACGGTCGTAGGGAGGGGTGCCAACGTACCTCCACAACTCAGGCCTCAATTCAATAAGGCGCCAATTGCCACCATCCAGCGACTTCCTCACTCCTGCTCCCGCTCCTGCCTGTCCAAACAGCGGCCCGTGCAAGACGATCGCGCGCAGCTGATTCGCGTGCTGGAGGCACAGGCCAAGAGTTCCCCCCGAGGCCTCGATCATGCAGGACCTTCGGGCCGATCAGGAGTAGCGCAGCTTGAGCAGGGACCGACCGTCCCAGCATTCCTAGATGTCGACCACGAAATGTTCTTAGAACCCCCACAATTTTCCAATTACCAAAACACGGTTCTTAGAAAGTGAGCCCGACGCGTTCGCACGAACAATAGCGTATCAGCCAGACATGCTCTAAGCACATTCCGCGCAGACCGCCACAAGGTCATCATGACACTCCTTGGGGGGGGCCGCAGCTATGCCACAGGCATGCCGGGACGCTTCGCCACTGCTCGAGCAGCACAGCGCAGTGCCGGGCGCGCCCGGCTCCTCGCGCCGGGCCTCCCGCGGCTCGGCCTCCCTCGCGAGGGCCCGCTCGCCCGGCGCGGGGCGCGCCCGCTCTGCCGCGGGCCGGGCGGGCCCGCTCCGCGACGGCGCGGCCTCCCGCGGCTCGGCCTCCGCCCTCGCCGGGGCCCGCTCGCCCGGCGCGCGGCGCGCCCCGCGGGGCCGCCGGCGGGCCGGCCGCGCTGGCGGCCGCCGCCGCGGCGGCCACCGCGGCCCGCCACCTCTGGAGGGGGGGAGCCAGGCGGTGCCGAGGTGGGGGTTGCTCCGTGGCCAGCGCCCGCGGGGGCGAGCCTCGGGAGCCTCGGCTGGCGGCGGGCGCAGGCACGTCGGGCCCCCCCACCAGGGCCCGAGGGGGGGGAGGGGGAAGGGGGGGGAGGGGGGGGGGGGAGGGGGGGGGGAGGCGGGAGAGGGGGGGGAGGGGGGGGGGAGGGGGGGGGAGGGGGGGGGGAGGGGGGGGGGGGGGGGGGGGGGGAGGGGGGGGGGCCCGCCGAGTTCCCAGGAAGCCGACACCCCTGGCGGTGGTGCTGACTTCGCACACCGCGCCCCGCGGTACGCGCTCCTCTTCGCCCCCCCCCCCCCCGCCGCCGCCCTGGAGAAGGGCAGCTGCTCCGGCCCAGGCCGCGACGCGCGAAGCGCCGTTCTCTTTGCGCCACTGCGGGTGACCTGGCACACAGTCACGCTGCTGCTGCAAGGGGCGCGAGATCAGGAACACAGGGCCTCTTCAAAATAATTCTGAACAGATTTGCGAAACCCTGAGGGGTCTGCAGGAATCCTAGGGAACCCAAAAGAACCTTTCGGAATCCTCAGGAATCCCGAGGAAGCTTCGGGAATCGTTGAGAATCTGGAGGAAGCCTGCGGAATCCTGCGGGATCTTGAGGAATCCTGAAGAATCCGGAGGAATCTGCAGAACCCTGGCCCGGGTCATGGGAGCGGCCCGAAAACCAGAGCACCTCCTGAAGCCAGAGCGGTCCTTCTTTCAGCAGCGCCCTGGCCGTGCACCTGCACCCACCATGGCCAGGCGGACCCTGGGCCCAGGGTCGGCGTGTTGGAGCGGCTCCCCACGAGGTCTCGACCTCCTCCCGCAGACCAGCTTTTCATCATGAGTTGTCCTTGACGGCCCCAGGGCCCAGACCGGGACCTTGGAGGCGGAGACGCGTTAAAAACTGCCCGTCGCCCTTGTTTTACGACGGCCACCCGCTGCTTGCTACGCAGCCCGCACGCACATCTTCTACGGCAAACATCTCCGCGCTGGCTCTCATGGTCTGAGCGGACTCCAGCCTTTTCTTCCCCCTCGCGCTCTGTTCCCTTGTGCCTTCGTGCCTGAAGCTCCCTCCCGGCGCATCCCACCGCTTGCCACGACCAGCATCTAACTGTCTTGGACCACTTGAGCGACGATATAAAACAGGGTCTTACGTGACATGACATAGCGACCCGGCGTGGAGGCTCACGCGGGCCGCCAGCGCTTTAGGGCTACGCTGGAAGCAAGGGCGCTTACGCGTGACCTTACGCGAGCAGCTTGCGCGTCGATGTCGGCGCAGACGACTCCGTTGTTTTGTGCATCGCTCACCTGGCGCCCGCGGCCTTGCAATTCGTGTCACGGCGCGAGCACGCCTGGGGCCGCCAGGACAGAGAGGGCGTGCACCACCGACCCTGGGCCCAGGCGCGGCCCGGCCAGGGCCGGCATCGGAGAGCAGTTCGCGCCCTGCGACCTCCGCTCGCGCGGGGCCTCCCACGGCTGCGCCCCCACCTCTCGGGCGGGTGGCAACGGGGGGGGGCGGCGGGGGGGGTGAAGCGCAGGACCCTCAAGAGGCGCGTGGAGGCCCCGTCTGGGCCCCTGCTGGGTCAAAAAGGGGCCCTCAAGGTCCCCTTTGAGGGTCAGTTTCTTCACCCCCATTGACGTCACCTCCCATTGCCATCGGGGATCCACTGACCTGGGTCAATCCAAACCCGGGTCAGTCAGGCCGCGCAGGATCCTGCAAGATCCTGCAGGATCCTGCAGGATCCTGCGCCCAAGCCCAGGGTCCTGCAAAATCGGGCGCTCTGACTGACCCCCATTTGCACTGACACCCGTCTCTTGAGCCCCGACCTCCGCGAGGTCCGACCAGCTCCGACACCTCACGTGCCACCTTGTCTCCTGGTGGAGCGGGAACTGGGAGAAGAACTCCCACCAATCGGCACCCTCCTCTCGGGCAGTCCGCAATGGGTGCGTTGCACAACGAGCCCGGCGCAGGCGCCAATGTTCGGTCAAAGCAATGTGGGTGGGCCGCGGGGGGGTCGCGGGGGAAACGGGTGGGTCGCGGGGTGGGTCGCGGGGTGGGTCGCGGGGGGGTCGCGGGGGGTTCGCTGGGTGGGTCGCGGGGTGGGTCGCGGGGTGGGTCACGGGGTGGGTCGCGTGGTGGCTCGCGGGTTGGTCGCGGGGGGCGGGGGGGCGACAACGGTAAACCACAATAAGAACAACCGCGCTCATTTTAAGACTGCTCGCTCTCATCTGTTCGCGTGCCATTCAACATGTATATCCAGAACCCTTGATACCAGCCCTCTTCGTCTTCGATCGTAACCCCCTTGGGAGTATATCTTCCGTACCTGCGGCGTGTAGTTGGCGCAGCCCCGAAACAACGGGACGGGAGGGAGGATGGAAGGGACACAAGGGAGGGAGAAGGATGGAAGACGAGAGAGATTAGCAAGAGGGTGGTCAAGAACAGAAAGCAAGCGGCTGAACCAGACGGGCGGGTCGGGAGGCCGGAACCGCAACGGGCGGGTCGGGCGGCGGGCGGGCGGGCCCAGGCGGCCAGCGAGCGTCCGGGTCGCTGAAGCGTCAGTGTTTCATGGATCGCGAGGACGTCTCTAGCGATAGCGCGCCCAAGTACAACGTGAGGAAGTCCGGAGCGAACGCTTGATTTTTTAGCGTCGAGGGCGCGGCGCCTGAATAGGCTGGGATCGAGTCCTACGCGAGAGAGCGACTCCTGGATAAAGTATAAAGGCGATGCTACGCGAGAGTGAGATCTTGAATCAATTGTGAGGAAGCATCAGGCGGTAACTGTTGTTGTGGTAGTTCGGGGACCAAAAGAGCTTTCTGAGGCCTCTACTGGTCCCTTTGTGAAAAGAAGGCGCGCGCCCCAGGAGAGACTATCAATTGAAACAACACCATGGGCACCGGAGGGGGGCCTCAACAGTAACTATGCTCCAAATATGAGAACTCAACGCTCATGACAAAACTGCTCGCTCTTATCTGCTCGCGTGCCATTCGACACGTACTTTCCAAGCCCTCGAGACCCGCCCTCCTCGTCTTCGTTCGTACCTCCTCTGGGGGCCTATCTTCCTTATCTGCCACGTGTATTTGGCGCGGGCCCAGAGAGGGCCCAGGCGGCCGGGTCGAGCGGGCAGGTCGCTAAAGCGTCAGTCCTGCATGAAGCGCGAAGACGTCTCGAGCGACGGCGCGATTCCGGGAAACTTGTGAGGAACTCTGCAGCGAGAACGCGTCCTGAGTGTCAAGGGCGCGGCGTATGAACAAACTGCGAGGACATCACACGCGAGCGCGCGACTCCAGGATGAAGAAGACGGACATCCCCGCGAGGGTGCGATGTTGAATGCACTGTGGGGAAGCATCCGGTGGGAACCGTTGTGGTGGCAGTTCAGGCGCTGGCGTCCTCTGAGGCTCAAGATATCCCTTGTTAAAAACAAGGTGCGAGCCCTGGGAGGGGCCCTTGAGCTGAGACAATACAACGGGTACCGGGCAGGGGGGAATCAACAGATGCTCTGAAGAAGTGAGATTTCAACAATCATGCTAAGTCGGTTCGTTCTCACCTGCTCGTGCCATTCAGCACGTGTATCCCGAACTCTCGGGACCCTTCCTTGTCGTCTTCGTTCGTGTATCCTTTCGGGGTATAGTTTCCTTACCTGCTACGTGTAGTTGGCGCAGCCTCTAAAACACGGGACGGGAGGGAGGAGGGAATGGACAAGGGAGGGAGGAGGATGTGGATCACGAAAAAGATTAGCAGTATGTGGGCAACCACCAACAAAACAAGTGGTTGAACCAGGCGGGCGGGTCGGGCGGGCGGACCCTAACGGGCGGGTCGAGAGGGCGGGTTGCTGAAGCGTCCGTCCGGCATAGATCGCGAGGAAGCCTTGAACGACAGCGCGATTCCCAAATTCATCGCGAGGAAGTCCAAAGCGAGCGCCCGATATCTGGGTGTCGACGGTGCGGCGTCTAAACAAATTGTAAGGAAGTTCCGCGCGATAGCGCGATTCCTGGTTCAATTGTGAGGATGTCTGGCGCGAGAGCGCGACTTGAAATTATCCTGGCGAAGGTCCCAACCATATGCAGTTGTGGGTACCGTAATTGTGAATATCTGCTTCGGAGAAGCTCCCTATGGGGCCACGAAGCGCTGCACTGGGCGGGGGGGAACGCTGTACTGTGTGGGTGGTGTGCCGAATTGGGTTTCCGGGACGCATGCGGACTGTCCCACTGAGGGCTTCGGTGGAGCTCCCTATAGGGCCACGAAGCGCTCTACTGGGTGAGTGAAAATGCCAAATGGCTTACCGGGACGCATGCGGACGGTCCCACCGGGGGCTTCGGTGGAGCCCCCCATGGGGCCACGAAGCGCTGCACTACGCGGATGAAAATGCCAAATTACATTTCCCGGACGCATAGGACAGTGGCACTGGGGCATTGGGTGGAGCCACGAAGCGCTGCACTGGGTGGGTGAAAATGCCAAATTGGGCTTCCGGGACGCATGCGGACGGGGGCACTGGGACCTTCGGTGGAGCTCCCTATGGGGCCACGAAACGCTGTACTGGGTTGGTGAAGCGCAGGGAGGAGGGGGAGGAGGGCCACGAAACGCTGTACTGGGTGTGCGGGACGCATGCGGACGGTAGCGCTGGGACCTTCGGTGGGGCTCCTTATGGGGCCACGAAGCGCTGTACTGGGTGTGCGGGACGCATGGGACGGTAGCGGACTGGGACCTTCGGTGGGGCTCCCTATGGGGCCACGAAGCGCTGTACTGGGTGTGCGGGACGCATGCGGACGGTAGCACTGGGACCTTCGGTGGAGCCCCCTATGGGGCCACGAAGCGCAATACTAGGTGTGCGGGACTCATGCGGACGGTAGCACTCGGACCTTCGGTGGGTCTCCCTTGGGGGCCACGAGACCTGTACTGGGTGGGTGAAACGCAGGGAGGAGGACGAGAACGGCCACGAAACGCTGTACCGGGTGTGCGGGACGCATGCAAACGGCTCCCTATGGGGCCACGCAGCGCTGTACTGGGTGTGCGGGACGCATGCGGACGGTAGCACTGGGACCTTCGGTGGAGCTCCCTATGGGACCACGAAGCGCTATAGTGGGTGGGTGAAACGCAGGGAGGAGAAAGAGGATGGCCACGAAACGTTGTATTGGGTGTGCGGGGCGCATGCGGACGGTAGCACTGGGACCTTCGGTGGAGCTCCCTATTGGGCCACGAAGCGCTGTACTGGGTGTGCGGGACGCATGCGGACGGAAGCACTTGGACCTTCGGTGGAGCTCCCTATGGGGCCACGAAGCGCTGTAGTGGGTGTGCGGGACGCATGCGGGCGGCAGGGAGGAGGGGAAAGAGGAGAAGAAGGAGGAACGCGGGGACCGTACCTTCAAAACGAGGACCCAACACCACAGGATGGTTGGGAACAGTGTGAAAAAAACATCCAGCGGAAACCGCTCTTATTGTAAACTGAGATCCAGGGGCACAGTCTGACGTGCACGACTTCCCTTGTGAAAAGTAGGGTGCGATCCTGAGGAAGGGCTGTTCCTTTGAAACAGCCAAATAGGCACCCGGGGGGGGATCAACAGAAAATGTTCAGGAATCACGAATCAACAGCATCAGCAACAACACAACAATAGCAGCAACATCACCAACGCCAACAACACCAGCAATCACATGTATATTAAGGCTGTTCGCTCTTATCGGCACGCGTGCCATTCAGTACGTCTACCCCAAGCCTCAGTACCCGCCCTCCTTCATTTGGATATATCTTTCTTGCCCGCAACGTGTATTTCGCGCAGACCCTGAAGCAGGGGAAGAGATGACGGATGGAAGGAAGGGGCACGGGGGAGGGAGGAGGATGGAGGACGAGAGAGATTTGGGGCTAGGAGCAGAAATGACGCGGAGACAACGGGGAGGGAGGAGGATGAAACGCCAGAGAAAACAACAGGAAAAGGGGCCATGAACAGAAAACGCGTGGCAGAACCAGACGGGCAAATCGGGCGGGTAGAACCTAACGGGAGGGTCCGGAAGGCAGGCCCGGGCGGCGAGGTCGAGCAGGCGGGCTGCTGAAACGTGAGTCCTGCATGAATCGCGGCAAATCTCAAACGATAGCACGATTCCCAAATAAATCGCGAACGAATCCACAGCGAGAACGTGATTCCTGAGTGCCCAGGGCGCGGCGTCTGAATCATTTGCGAGGAAGTCCTGCGCGAGAGCGCGAATCCTGTATACATTGTGAAGAAGTCTCCCGCGAAAGCGCGATTTGGGAGTAAATGGCAAGGAGCTATCAGGCGGGAGCCGTTGAACTCTCACTTGAGAAGAAAAAATATTGCTGATCGCCCCTCACCGGTGCAAACTGTTTTTTTATCAATCTCGACGCTCGCACCCTATTCTTTGACAGGGAAATTCTTGATGCTCAAACTGTGCTCCTGGCCCCCCGGAGTACAACAACAACAACAGCAATAATCTTAAGACTGCTCGCCCTTATATGCTCGAGTGTCCAATCACGTGTATTTCCCAAACCCTCGATACCCGCCCTCTTCGTCTTCGATCGAACCCCTTTTGGGCGGTATACCTTTTTTCCCTGCAGGCCGGGCCCCGGCAATCGGCGGGGCGGCCGCGGACCGTCGGCCTGGCCAGCGGCAGCGCTGATCGGCGGGGCGGCCGCGGACCGTCGACCCGACCCCAAGAGGGACGGACAGGGGACCGACCACGACGACGACGACGACGACGACGACGACGACGACGACGACGTCGAAGACGACGGCGACGACGGCGACGACGAGCGAAAGCGAGAGCGAGAGAGAACGACAGCAGGGCCACGAAGGGCACGAAGTAGGCCACGAAGGGCGACAGCGGGGACACGAAGGGAATGCGTATGGGGCCACGAAGAGCGCGAACGAGCGGGGGCCACGAAGTGCAGATAATGCGGGGCCACAGAAGGCAACTATGGGGCCACTGAGGGTAGCAACTGGGCCACGTAGGACAGTGAGGGGGACACGAATGGCGACAGCGGGGCCACGAAGGGCATGCACATTGGGCCACAACGGGCGCGACTCCTAAGTGCCTGGGTGTCGGGAGCGCGGCGCTTGGCAAATTGTAGGAACTTCCAAGGCAAGGCCATTCTTCAGTAAGTTGCAAGCAAGTCTCCAGCAAGAGCGCGACCCCAGAGCGCCGGGAGAGTGATTACTGAATAAACTGTGAGGAAGTCCCAAGCGAGAGCGCGATTCCTGAATAAAATGCGAGGAAATCTCGGGCGGGAGCGGGGCTCCTGGCTAAATTGTGTGGAAATCT